TCCGGGTCTCTAGCATCGCGTACGCTCTGCTCCTCCTCAGTAGCGACTACTACATCTCTACGACCAAGGGGTACAGCTAAGATACGATAACTACATTAAATTCCTTACCTCTCGATTAGTATAGCGATATTAGTTTCATCCATCTTAGACCATCGTACGTACTATAGTCTTCGATAGAGTACACTTTCGAGTGAACCTATCCGGGTCTCTAGTATCGCGTACGCTCTGCTCCTCCTCACTACCTTTATCCTACTTTTATTAATAAGGATATAATTATATATATGATTCGAAAATAACGGATCTTATATTTTCTAACCGGATCTGGACTTATAGTAGTTCGACATATATTCGAAAAGTAAAAGGATAAAGATAATTAGGTAATTAATCTTAATCGATTACGGGTCGATTCGAGATCGATTTTTAATCGATTCTTAATATATTTAATAAGTATATGAAAGTTTAAATAACTTTATGATTATTTGTTTTTCGCTAGTATAATTACGCTTATTTCTTCGATTACGTACTTATACGATTAATATGAATTATAAGTATTTTCTTTTTCCTAACCATCGGGAGATAATTTAGGCTATATATAATAAGCAATTACGAAGAAGTAGGTAATCGATTAAGTACCGATTATAAGTTAATTATTAATCGATTATCTAGATATTGCCTTAATTCGTATGATTATAAATTCTGATTTTATTCCGATGTATTACTTTATGTTTTAAGCTATCTTTAAGCTTATTACTAATAAGTATTATAAACCTATAAATTAGAAGCATATTACTTAAGATAAGGACGGCTTAATTAGCTTTATAATTAATTAAGACTATAAGCTATTAATTGGTACGTATTATAATTAACTCTAAACCGGCTATAAATTAGTTCCTAATTAATTAACCTAGGTTTCGGCTTATACCTTTCGCATAAGTATCTAGGTTACGATTAGTTATAGTATATTTAATATATAATTCAATATTATAAAGTCTATTACTAACGTAGTATAGAAAAGCTAATAGGGGTAAGTAAATACTTAATAATTATAAATTAATTTATAATCGATAATTAATCGATTACTATTATTATAGCTATTAATTCGCGGACCGTATTTAGACTTTGATTTATTAATGAACTTATTAAATATATAATTAGAAGCTAACTATAAAAAAACTTACGCATATATAATTAAAGGTAAATAAAATATTACTCTATAATTAGTTATAAATCGAATGCTAATCGATTAACTTACCTACGTTATGTTAATTAAGTTCGCTATAAACTTCGCGACTTTATTCGATATAGTCTTCTTTTATGTTATTTAAAAATAAACGCTAAAGATTAAAATTAATTAGTAGATAATATAAATCCTACTAAAGTTTAATACCAACGAAGTTATAATTACGGCGGTAGGTATTAGTATCTAGCTAATTATATCGAAAAGTAAGTTAATCGATTACTAACCGGCCATGGATCGTTTATTAATCGATTCATAGTAATTAATAACTAAATAAACGAGATTTTAATTCGGCTACTATCTTTTAAGAGTTTTACGTTTAATATTCGTATCGATCTTAATTATTAATATCTCGACTTCGATATTACGAAATGCGTCGAGGTAAGTAAATATATTTAAATTATTATTAGAGAGTAATTAATTATTAATCGGCTTATAATTATTTAGTACGTAGAGAAAATAAACGACTATAAGAAAGAGGATTATTAATAAACTTAATAGTTTTAACGTCGTTTTTAGTATTTAATTTTAAAGGTAGTATTCCGTCGTTAGTTATTTTAGAAGCTTAAAGCCTATCGTACTTTTTAACTACTAGATTAGTAAGATTAAGATTAGGTTTACTTATTATTAGATTACGAAAACGTTAACGAAGGTATATATATTACCCTTTTTTAATCGATACGTAATTAATTACTAACCGATTTATATAGGAATACCGAATTATATCGCTAGGCTTTGACTTTATAAACTATTATTATTAATCTTAAACTTAAACGTAAATTAAAACGTATTAAAATTCGTTAATAAATAGCCGTAGTAGATAAAATCGAAGAAGAAGTACGTTAATTACGCTTAATAAACGATAAAAAGGAGATTAAATTAATAGAACGACGAGCTAGGCTTAACTTAGATTAATAACTATTCGTTTAAGAATTAATTAAGAATTAACCTCTAATTAATTACCCGTTTATTAAATTAAATTATTACTTCTTTTTTAAACTATCTTAGGATAAATATAAAACTAATATATAAATTAAAATAATTTTTAAGTTATAATTAAGAATTAAAAGTAAAGGTATATTAATAATACGTAACTATAAGACTAGCTTTAATTAATTTATAAGCGATTAAACTCCTATACCATATATTTAAATCCCTCGTTATATATTACGAATCGATTCTTAATTAATTAAGAATTGAATATATTTAACGAAATCTCCGTATCTCTTTATTTACGTATTACTAACCGATTATTAATCGATTCCGAATCGATTAAGCCTTATTATTTCCTTCTATATCTAGTATAATTATAGGTAATGGCTTCTTAAATCGTAGCTATACGTCGCATACGTTATCGGGTACGGGAGGGAAGCATTTTAATAATAAACGGTTAATAATCGATTAAAATTCGATTAAAGTAAACTTATTACTAACCTTTCGGCCCTTTACTACGTAATTATTATAAGCCTTACTATATAAATTAACCATCTTTCTTATTTAACGGCTATCGATATCTCCGTTCTAAATAATAAATAATTAGTTCTTAATTAATTCGAATTTAATTAATACTTATTCTCTTACGTGGAATTATTAATAAAGCAGCGGTAATAGAGCGGCTAAACCCTACGATAGGCTTCGTAACGGGCTTACGAGGAGTATTAGAAATCGACGAAATATTAATTAATTAATAATTAATTAAGAAATAAATTATACGGAAAATATGCTTACTTCGCTTCGTTTTTAACTTACGCGGAAGCCTCGTTAGCTGCTATTCGTTCCATTAATCGTTAATAAAATGCTAATTAATTAATAATTATTTAAAAAATGAATTAAAAATAATAACTTACCTATAGCTCGCTAATATTATATATTATTTATTACTTTAGATATATAATTCTTAATTTAATACTTATAAGTACGTTTTAAGTACTATCGTAAGTTAGAGGTCGAAAATTAATAGGTTTAATTAGTTAATAATTAATTAATATCTAATTAAATATTAATATATACTATATTTCTATATATATTACCGTCGATACGGGCGCGATAAAAGAGCTCGCTAGGTACGATAATCGGAAGGCCGGCTTAATCGATTAATAATTAATTACTAATTAATTTCGGGATAATATTTACCTCGTTTAGTTCGAATTCTAGCATACCTTTAGGACGCGTCGTAAACGAAGTATATTATTAGTATGCTTTTTAAAGCTACGTTAGTAATAATTAATTCGTAATTAAATATATACTCATTAAGAATCGAATCTTACCGATAAACGAAAGTTATATAGCTTTACTATATTATTAGAAACGCGAATTAATTAATAGGAATATTAATTAATTAGGTAGTAATAAGAGGGTAGTAGTAAGAGGGTAGTAGTAGGAAGGTAGTAGCGGTAGTAGGTTAGTTATTATAAAAAGAAGGGAGGGAGAAAAAAAAAGGGTAGTAAGGGAAAAGGGTATTAAGTAGGGATTAATTAGAAGGATCTTACCCCTAATTAGTTAGTAGGGTTAGTTATTTTAAAAGGAGCTAATAAAATCTTCAGGAAGCCGCGACCCGCTTTGGGGTAAGGTTTAGGGGACTAGTTAGGCTAATCTATAGACTCGAGTAAATATGTAGGTACGAGAATGGCCCCGCTCAGAGCCACGTTGGCTGGTCCCTTCCCAGCTGTGTTTTCTGTCTCCCGATCCGCTGCGGCTGGTTGGCCCTTGCCTGGCTGGTCCCGAGCGCCAGAAAAAACGAGGAAACGACCGGTGGCAAGTCGCTGAGCGTTTCACCATCCGGTACCCTCTTTGCCGGCGGCCGGATGTATGCACATGCCTGCCTACGTACCCTTAGCCTGGTAGGGACACGGGCACACATAGATTTGCACGTACCTGCATACACATGTTGGGAGAGTAGATACCCGACTGGAGGCATCCTTCGAGGTATCTCCGACCTGAGCTTACACGTAGGTATAGCTTCCATCCATACGAGGTACCTAGGCCTATGTACCTAAGGAGGTACCTCTACTATACACCCAGCTAAGACGCCTTCGACGTGCTGAACAACGAAAACTGCCAAACAAACCGCGCCGTCGGCCACGCATCGCCTAATCCCGATCCTGCTGGCGTCTCTTTTACTTGATTCCGCCCGCTTTCATCCCCCCCCCCCCCCCTCTCCCCCCTGTTGGGCCCGTCCTGTCGCTGCAAATTGCGCCTTGCGCCTCTCGCCTCTTGTCTTCCACCCTCCCCTCCCCCTTGTCACGTTCCTGCGGCCTCCACATCGACGAATGAATGGATGGACGGATGGAATAGTGAGAGCGGGAGAGGAAGAGAGTCATTTTTTTTCTTCCTCGTCTCTCTCCATCAGCTCAATAAATAATCCCTCCCCCCCAACCCCTGACCCTCCTTCGGCCTTCCTTCCCTTCCTCCCTCCCTCTTTTCCCATTCCTTAACCCTCGTGTGCTTCTCGACCACGTAGATCAGATCCATTCCTTTCCAGGAGCAGTGCTCACTGTATACATTCCTTTTTCGGTACAGCTGCTCCGTCACGCTCATTCTCCGATCGTAAGGAGAGTCACCGAGTTCATCGCCAACCCCCACCACCAACGCCCTCCTTCAGAGATCGCCAGAGATCGCCAGGGAGCCGCCGGAACAAGCCAAAGGTCCTGTCGCGATAGTAACGAAAAACTTCCCTAGACACCCACCTCCCCTTCCCGGCTGGATCCTCGATTCGCTTTACATCTCTCTCTTTTCAAGCACACAGGAATTCCCATCCGCCAAGATGAAGTCCGCAACCCTCGCCGCCGCCCTCCTGGTCTCCGTCGCCATCGCTAAGCCCCACGGCCACAAGCGCCACCTCCACCCGCATGAGAAGCGCGATCTTGTCACCGAGTGGGAGACCGTCTGGGAGACCGCCACCGTCATCATCGACGAGAGCTCCACCGAGACCATCCCCCCGCCGCCCCGCAACACCGGCGCCGGCAGCCCCGGCCAGTTCTTCCAGCCCCCCAGCAGCGCCATCGTCTCTGTCGCCGCCGTGGAGACCTACCCGACCCCGGCCGCGCCCGAGACCCCCACCACGTCTCCCACCTCCACCAGCGTCGCCCAGCCCACCACCACCTCCATCTACCAGGCGCCGCCTCCGCCGCCGCCGCCCCCGGCTCCCACCACCACCAGCACCCCGTCCCCGGCGCCCGTCGAGACCCCGTCGTACGACACGTCGCCGCCAGCCTCGGGTGGCTCGAGCTCGGGCGGTAGCAGCGCCGACGGGATCCCGTACGGGAAGAAGTACGACGGCGAGATCACCTACTACAACGCGGCGCTGGGTGCGTGCGGGTACCCCGACGAGGGCAAGGACGACAGCGAGAACATCGTCGCCATCCCCAAGGACTTCTGGGACGCCATCAGCACCGCGACGAGCTACGGCATCAACCAGCCCGCCCATCCGCTTTGCGACAAGACCATCACAATCTCCACCGCCGACGGCAAGACCGCTAAGGCCGTCATCCGCGACCGCTGCGCCGGCTGTGTCGGCTCCGCCATTGACGTCACCCCCCACGCCTTCCTCCAGCTGTTCGGCTCCCTCGACGGCGGCCGTCTCGAGGCCTCGTGGTCGATCGACGGGTAGGCGAGCGGAGCTAGCCTCCTCTCTTCCCGCTCCCTCGCTCTCTCTCTCGATCCGTCTTCTTCCCTCGGAAGAAGGTGGGGAGAGCCCCCTTGATGACCCAACGGGCACCTTTTCAGCCTTGATGACCTTCTCTTCTTTTTCTGCCAAAAAAAATCTTACTGTCGGACTTGGGTTTTCTCTCGAGAGGAAACACTACGGATATACCAAAGGGATATACATCTAGGTTTTTGGTGTTTTTTTTTTTCCTTCCTGGCAACCAGGGAACGGGGAGTTTCAAGCAGAGCAAGGCCCGGTCGATTGACATGCGGCCGGTTGCGATACTATTCGTGGAGCCTATCCTCCGCCTTCTCCTCACCTCCCGCTCCACCCGTCTCCCCCCGCCATATACACGCTGGGGAGACGCGTGCGCGAGCGAACGAGGCGAGACATAGACCTAGACGTGGCACGTAAGATTCTTGTATATACATTGCATCCTTACTCGGCCGCCTGTACTCTGTTAAGAGAGCTGCTAGATCCGTCCCGGGATCCCGAGCGGGGATCGCGTGATTGCAGTCGCGGAGCGGGGAAAAGCACAAAAGAATATAAAAAGACATGTTCCGTCCGATAAATAAACGGGGCTAGAAGTCCTGCCGTCGCCGTGCTGAACGGATTCGCGAGTAGTCTTGTGTGTAAAGCCTGTGAGTGAATATAGAGAGTGGTCAGTTCAGCTGAGCTAGCCCCCTGACTCGGTGTAAGGGGCCGCAACGAGTCCGTAGTCGCCTTGTTTCTGTTATGCTCGCACTCTCGTAAACCCCGGACTTCTCTCTTTTCCCTTCAGCAAGACACTATCGTCTTATCCCAGCCGTAGGCAAACCACCGCGCCACGCACCGAAACCAACTCCTTTCGAAGACCGTCGACTGCTTTTACACCACCTCTATGTATATAACGCTCTTTTTAATCTTGCACGCAGCCTCAGCTCCGTATACCCGGCACGTCGAGCCTACACCCGCTCCTCTATCGCCCGAGGTTAGACATGCCAAGAACAAATCCTCAGCAGGAGGGCTCCTCCTCCCTCACCGACTCAAGCTCAGCAGCCCTTCGACGTACTTCCTCGTATCCACGCCGATGCCCTGGGCGAGCCGGCTCGCGCCGTCCGTCCACCCACTTGTACCCGACCCCGCGCCCGCTCCGTCGCCGAAGGACCCGCTGAGCGCCCGCAGCCGCGAGTGCTCGCCCGCCCGGCGTATAAGGAAGATTTCCTTGCCGACCCTCTTCCGCGGCGGCGCCGACGCGGCCCCGCGACCGCGCGAGCGGGGGCGAGAGGGCGGCGAGGATAGAGACGAGGAGGGCCGGGAAGAGCCTGCGTCGGATGCCTGCGCGGGGGCGAGGGGTGGCGGCTGCGGGGCCTCCTTGTCCGCCTTGTCGAGCACACGCGTCCAGACTACCCACCAGCCGCGGCTCGTCTTGCAGGTGCGTTCCAGCTCCGACGGTTCCGCCAAGGTCGCGACGTACGTGTTGAGGATCTGGTTGTGCGTGTTGATCGCCTCGACGCGGGACCAGATCTGCTGCTGTTGCTGTTGCTGCTGCGCTTGTGCCAGCGCCGCTCGCCCCGGCGAGGGGATACTGGGGATCGTCGAATGTACGGTCAGCGCCTCTGGGTCCCAGATGAGGTCGAAGATATGGGGACCCGTCGAGCCGGCGAGGTCCGGCCTCCCCGGCCGGTAGGATGTAGAGGCGACTAGAGGCTTTCGTAGGGGCGCGAGCTGGTAGTGCAGCGACCTGTACAGCCCGTCCCAAGCCAGCGAATCCGTCCCGTTTCGGAAGAGGAAAGTATAGATTAACGGTTTGTTGACGTATACCACCACGCGCACCTTCTGCACTTTGTTACGGTCTTGGCTCTCGAAGTGATCCGTTGAGTTTGGGGGGCCACCACTAGGCCTCGCCGTCGATTCCTTGTTATCCTGGATTCCAAGATCTCGGGTGACCTCGGCTTCGGGAAGACCCAAATCCTCCATCTCCACGATCAGAGTGCGAAGCACGATTCTCGAATTGTACCCCACGTCCTCGGACGAGGCGTCGGACCGCTCCATTTCTTCCTCACGGTCGACAGCACCGGCCTCCTCGACGTCCCCCAGTAGACCGATAAGGTAATGACCGGGGTCAGAGCTACGCATTCTCAGGGTGCCTTGGGATCTGCCGGGGAGTCCCCCGGGCGTCGTTCCGTTTTTGCCAGTATCTTCGGTGCCGGCGGAATTGCTTAGCGTCCAGTGGGTGCCGTAGCCCATCGTCAGGTAGCTCATAAACCTATTAACACTGCCTTCGTCCGCTGGCTCGTCGGGGCTTTTTGGCGAAGCCGCTGCCGACCTGTCGAGGGTCGCGGACGGACTTTGCGCGGCTGGCCGCTTTGGACTGGTCGAGTCGTCCTCAAGTGTTTTCACGACATTTTCCTCATTACCCTTCGTAGCTTCCGAGGGAGGCTTCTTAGGCTTCCTCGCTTGACGTATCGAAGACGGGCTGTCCCTGACGCCGTAGGCTTCCTCGCCCCATGTATAAATATCCTCCATCCAGTTCGTGATGTCACGTAGTGATTTTCTTGACAGAGCCCCAACCCCCAAAAAGATCGCGCCGTCTTCTGCCCCGGGTTCTTCGCCGGTGCCAAGCCACTTCGAAGCGGGCTCTTCAACCGCATTAGGGTCTCTTGCGAGGCCATCGTCTGTTCCCGACTCTGAAGGACCGAATTTAGAAACGACCAGGTCAACCAAGCCGTCAACCCTATCGACGAACCCTTCGAGGACCTCTCGCTCGCCGCTCCCGCGTTCCTCCTCGCCGACGCCGACGCCGAGCTCGCCGCAAGCAGCAATTTTGATACCGCCAAAGATGTTGGTGGCAGGGTTGCCATGCAGCATGACGTCCCATGTGGACAGGAAGAGATCCCAGTAGCGGCTCAGTATGCTGACAAATTTGGACCGCTTCGATCGGACGAATAGCGCGCTGAGGGACGATGAATGATGGAGTAGGAAGATGGAATGGGCGCGCAGGAGGTCTTGCATGAGCAATGCGGCGGGTTTGATCTCTCGAGACGAGTATTCTACATGTTTGGATGGGTCGTCCCTCTGGTCTGGGGAGGAGACTCCGAGCCTCGGTGGCAGAGGTATCTTGGTCAGGTCGATAGACTAGAATAGGGCAGCAATTAACCCAAATTTTGTTAGTATTTGTCTTGGAGTAAAAGTTGGCTTGTGTCTGCTTACGGCTAGAATCCACCAGCCAGGCTCGAGCTCGTGCAGGACGACGCGGGTCTTCTCCGTCTCTATGGCGTCTATAGCCTTGTTACCAGAAAAGCCACGACTAAACTCGACCATACCCTGGGCCAGGCCGATCTGCCTCAACCGTTCGTTCCGCTCATCCTGCGAGATGCTATCGGTGGGCTTGCCGCGGGGTCGATGTCGTCGTCTCTTAGACTGGGCATTGGCGGAGGTATAATAAACAATTTGATCGTCGATGGTCTCGTCGGTCGTGCCTAGAGAGGGATTGAAGATTGCTAGGAAGCCTAGCTGAGCGGGCACGACGGTTGCCAGCGGCGGAGAGACTACGGCCGCCATCGTGGGAGAGCAGGGCCGAGCGTTACCGTAACATGAGTATACAGAAATTGCCTATCGAGGTGAAAGACCATTAAGAAGGCCATAGCAGACTAGTGGCACATTTGCGTGCGAGCGGGGTCGGAGTCTGGTTGAGGCCGGCCGCGGCCCTTGGGCGAAATCTAAAATGGGAGGTGGAGGTGTCAGAAGTGAGAGGAGGTGAAGTTGTGAGGTCATAGAGGCGCGGGTGCGTAGAGACGAAGGTGAAGAGGTAGAGGGGCCTTGAAGAGGAGATAATAACCCAAGCTAGCGAGCTCAGCGGACGGCTTACCGCGTATACCGATATCGCAACAGAGTAATATGCAATAACCCATAGGAAGTTCCTTCGGCCGAGTTCCACTTACCGATCTGGCACCTAGAGCCTAAAAGGTACCTTCCTAGGTAGATAGCAATGGATACGACGTCATATTCGGTATACCGCATATGTACAAAACCATATGCTAGCAGGCGACGCCGAATCCGATAACCAGATAGATTATATATGCATAAAGTCATTCCTCATCTACGCTAACCCCGTGTGCCAGCACCGTGAAGGTGAAAATATAGTATATACAGATAAGTATAGCAAGATGCAGAGAGTGACTTCAGAGTTTTACTACCTACTGATTCACGTCCTTGTACCGAAGACGAGATAAATAACGTAGGTGAAGATACAGAAAGAAAGAAGAAAAAAAAAGGATAACGGAATATAAGGAACAGAAACATCATATATGTGTGTCTGTATGAGCCATGCTTTTTTTTTATCAATCAATTAGCCACTGACATGCTCCATCATCGGCGGCACGACGACTTCTAAATAATGTAATAACCCAGTCATGCCCTTACTCCCCAGCCCTGCTGTTTCCAGGTCTTCCAAGTAATAAAAAAATTGTATCTTTATAGCGCCTGTGAATATCTGGCTGGATTTACACCGCAGTCTGAGTCGATGCAGGCGGCTGTCAAATATTGCACGATAAACTCGCCCACCCCCCCTCCTCCCCCCCCTTTGACGACGCCACCGGAAGCTATTGGCGCACTGTACACCTCGTATCGTAATGCCGGTTTATTGAGTACAAGTTTCGAAGGTGTAGGGAGAAAAATCGAACTGAGGGAGGGGGCCTCGGTTGAATTGTCACCTATTCGTCAAGGGGTACTGCCGTGAGCACCTATCGGCTGCCTCGTTCCATATGAGAAATCCTCAAGATGGGGTTTGCCCTCCCATAGATGCGCATCCAAGCAACTCCTTCCGGTCCCGTTCTTGTCGTAATTGCATCGCCCTGTGAATATATGCGTGGATCAGATCCAGCTACGAGAAACCTCTCTCTATAGGTGCGGACGTTGCCGCTTAGTGCTCATAGCCTGCGCCTCGTTGCCACGGGCTGCTTCGTTGTTAGTAATCCTCTCCCGACAGACTCGGCCACGTTGCGACTTACCTAGCATTGTTCTGTGCTCTAGATCCCGGGGGGCTGTTGTTGTCGCGTTGCCGCGAAGACACGGAGGAACCACCGTACGGGCTCGGGGTCCTCTGTGCGCCACCAGCTGGGAATAGCGGGACTGATGGGTCTACGGGAGAACTAGGGCCCGTGCTGTTGTGGTGCTGGTTACGGCCATACGCACCGTTCGGGACTGCTGCGGGGACGGTCAGAGTCGACGTGTCCGTTCGGCGTCGCATGGACGCAGAGGATATCGACTCATTGTCGTCGTCGAGGTCCAAGCCGTGCTTGTACCCTGCCTTGTCCCCCCGCGCGGTGGCAGCTAGAGCATCTAGCTCGGTGGTACCGGTAAGCTGAGACTGCGATTTCATGAAGGATGCTCGGTCGTCGGCCATGAACTGGTAGCGGCCGTCGGGGTTCTTGCGGTAGAACACTAGCGTCGTCGACACGATGACCATGATGAGCAGTACCGTAGCGAATATGGCATTGAGGAAGAAGAGGATAAGACCAATAACACCATTAACTAACGGGGGCTGATTGAAAACATCGGAGAAGATCAAGAGGAAAATGGCGTTGAGGAAATTAACGACACAGATAGCGATGTTGAACGAGTTGGTGCTCTTATCCATCCACGGTCGAAGAACACTGGCGGTGATCAGAGCGGCGGCTTCGATGAGAAGGAACCCGATAGCCTGAGCAGTGCTGTTACCCTGGGCGAATGCGATAAACATGGACTTAACCAACGTATACCCGAGAATCGGGATGATGAAGTAATAAGCAGATGCCCGGAACTGGATGTATAAGAAACCCCACTTGTTCAAGGCCTGAGGATCCGAGAATAGTATATAGGCAGGGTTGCGATGCATGGCGACGGAGCGGCGGGCCATGCGAATGACCTTCATAGCTGCCCAGCCCATGGTGACCGTCATACCGACGATAAAGAAGACGGCAAGAACAACCTCGGCCGCGGAATCGACCTGCGTGAACTCCCAGAGGCAGAGGATGGACATCTGGGGGTACCCGATCAGAGTCAGGCGGAACAAGATGCCCTTCAGGACGGTAAGCCATCCGTTGCGGAACTCGAGGAACGTGTCGCCCTTCATCCACTTCTGTTTCACGGCGAGTTCACAGAAGCCCTTGAACGCCGCGACGCCGCCAATGGTGAAAATCACCAGAAGACAGAAGAAGGTCAGACCAGTCATGAATACGTTGGTGGTCTCGATACCAGCCCTGAACGCAGCACGTTGAATGCCGAATACGATATAACTACCGGAGCCGGTCATAACGTTGGCGCGCTTCAACAGCGGCCCCAGGGCACGCGGAAGCATAGCAGCCGACCGCCGATATAGGTTGACAGCCGTCTCGGGGAGAATGGAAAGGCCACGCTTCTCAACCTGCACGGAGACGGTGGTAAGGGAATCGAAGATGGTAGAGGGCGTACCACCGGTAGCGCGCTGGTACCAGGTGAAAATATCCTGCATGAAATCAACGTTGATGATACCCATCGACCACTGGAAATCCTGGGTCCACGACTGAACAACAGGAGGCAGGTGGATAGCAGTCAGGCCGAGCATAGCCTGGGCTTGGAAGAAGCCGAACAACGAGAGAGCACCGGAAGCTATGTGGGCGGCGGCGTTGGAATGACCTAAGCCGTTGATAATAGCCGAGGAGCAGAGGATCAGACCAGAGATGATAGCGAGAACCCACTTGATAGCAATCAAGTCAACCGTCTTTCCATTGGAGATATCGGCCTCGACACAAGCCACGCTCTGGCGGGTCTCCGTCAAGTTCAGGAAGACGCGGACGGTGGCATCAAGGTCGGGAAAGTTGTACGCAATGCTAGGGATCTGGGAAGCAGCCTCGTCGCCAACGGGCAAGTTAAACTTCAGCGGAATCTTACCGGCCGTCATGGGGCAAAGACCAGCCAGTCCAAGCTTGCAGGGATCGATCTCCGTCTTGATAATAGGGTGACCATATGCCGAGATGGAGATATCGAAGACAACCATGCCTTCGACAGACGAGGTAGCGACGATGTTGAGGAACGCAGTGTTGTTATTCGGGGTGTAGGTGACCTTGAACAGACTAGCAGTAAACAAGGAGTTTTCTTGACAGGTGTTGAGCGAGTTCGACACCAACATAGGCTCCGCTGCCTCGGCGCCCGGGAGGACGGCCGAAAAGCAGGAGAGCAGGAAAGCCGATCGTAACGCTGAGAACCACATGGCTGCGATTAGGTGGCGTTTCGCGACGTGCAGCTGAGGTGGTTTCCGTGACGGCGCACAGCGGAGCAAGAGAGAGACGCGGGCGGGGACGTCGGTGGAAATTTCTCTTCCTCGTACGTTAACGGGTGTTTGCTTCTCTGTTTACATCAGACATTAAAGAAGAGAAGAAAGGCCTCGATTGTCCTCCGATCCAGAATGACGAGGCCACGAATGCCGACGATCCAGAAGGGGGGAGGGGATAGCGAGAGTATAATTTGCCGACCAGGGTCTCCGTAGCGTGTCTATTTTCGGGGGGGAGGAGAGGGGGGGTGCTCCTCAGTTTTTTTCTTTCGTCGGTTACCTGTCCGAGGAAAACGACCGCTTCTCGCTCTCCTGCCGAAACGAGCGCGGCGGTGGTGGGAGCGACGACAACGGCTGTGGTTATAAAAGGGGGCGGTCGGGCGAAGCGGAAATCAAGCCGTTCGATGCCGGGAACCAGAAGAAGGGGACCCGTTCACGGAATGGGTTTCTGTCTGCTATTCCAAAATGGCGGCCGGTCGATGAGGAGGAGGAAGGGTGGAAAACGGGAAGAATGAATTAGTGGAGAGAAAGGGTTGAAAGAGAGGGAGAGAGATAGAGAGAGGTTAAGTGAGCGACTTGGTTTAGATTTGTTGATAGGAAAAGAAAGCAGAGGAGAAAGGGTGGGCGACCTTGTTCCAGTTTGGGGTGAAAGTGCGATGAAAGGGGAGGGAAGAGTAAGAGGCAGGAATAGTAGCAAGTAGCAGCGAAACGGCAAGGTAGGAGCCGCTACGTACCGGGTCCCGCCAGATACCTGGGCGAGGTACCTAAATAAGTACCTGGAGAAGTGGGAAGTCACTAAACCTGGATGCTGCAAGGGGGCGAGATTGTGCATGACCCCAGTGCACACCCGCAGGTTGGCTGTGTACCTGCTTCGCACCAACTGGGTACAGTTGGGTACATGGCTGGGCGATGTCCATCGGTACACGACATGTGCATCTACATAACCCACCCGGTGGAGTACATCAGGTTCCTCACTCTGGCACGTCGAGTTATGTATGCATGTATACATACTCAAGCGTATACCTGGGCAAAGCGGGTACAAAGGGAGTGCGGCAAGAGGGAAATTGACCGTTACGAGAGAAGAGAGGCGGAAGGGAACCCAACGACCTGGGCATTGATGGAGGAAGTTCTTGGGAGGCTTGGAAACGGAGGCACCTAAGGAAGACCTTGCTCTTGTTAATACCTGCTTACCTCTATTTTCCATACCTATCTCCGCCTAACTCTTGGTGCCTAGGTACCTATGCACTGTATATGTGTAGGAGGTACCTAGGCACTTGGTGTTGACCCCTTGACGGCCTGGGAGTACCTACCTAAGGTAATAAGAGGCAAGTAGGCTACTATAGGTAGGTACCTACCATCCCTCCTAAACCAAGGGCCAAGTTACCTGGCATAGGTACCTAAGGTTCCTACCTGTAGGCAGGTAAGGGGCTAAAGGTACCTTGCCTAATGAAGGCTCATTGTCTTAGGTGTCTGCTTGTTACCCGACGCAACGTGAGTAATGTAGGTAAGTGAGAGCTCCCCCATTTTTCAATGACCTATATGCATGTAAGGCTAGGAGGCATTGTCGCCATGCTGTCTCCGTCTCTTTGCGACTCGTCATTTCGTGGACATTAGGAGGGGGAGGCTTTGCCGGAGCAGCCTGTGCGTGTAGGGTGCCTCAGGCAGCGTAGGCGCTGTTATTTAGGATGCTTACTAGGTACCTGGCCAGTAATCGTAACAGACCTTCTCTGCTGAATTTAGGGATGATCTGCCTCGGGCGCCTACCTAGGAAGGTTGGCTGTTGCTCCCACGGCCAGGTGCTACGTAATATGTACATAAGTACTCATCCCACATCCCTCACTCACTCCCCTCCCCGGCATCATCACCGCTGCCATAATCGCCAAAACACATCGTCATCCGTCACCTAAGAGTGCTTCTCTGCCTCGCCTTGCTGTGCCTTACCAGATCCGCCGCCCACACCGTATGCTCCAGTCCTCCAATGCTCCAACTGCCTCCGGGGGCATACATCGCATGTATGCATGCATGCGACGCTATATGGATATGTATGAGTAGGTATGTATGAGATGGCGAAACATGCCGCTACCCGGAAGCACGGCCGGCGAGACAAGCCCAACTGCATCACGGACAAGATCTTGTCGGGGCGGTGCTCGCTCGGCTTTCCACTATACGATCACTGCGTGGCAGAGCGAGAGAGAGAAGAGGTAGACAATACAACGGCAGGGGTCTCGCCGGATTTCGTTGGCGCTCCTGTGCCCTCCTTGTCCCCGTGCGCCTGAAAGGGTGCGCGGCTCCCGAGGGATGCCAAAGGAGAGGTGCGGCCAATCCCAATCAGCGAGACGAGGATCGAAAACACGTCGATGGCATCGCCTGGCGCATATCTGGTCCTGCGACACTGCGTGTTTTGGCGCCCGACCGCCGACGACGCCATTGGACAACCGCCTTCGATTTCCAGCCTGCACTGCCACCACCAAGATCCCGCCGAGCCTGGGGGGGGGGAGGGCCAGGGGATGGACCCTGTCTGACATGCCAATAATTCAAATGATCCCTCTCTCTCGTTCCTGACGACACCCAATACGTATTGTACGAAGGAATACGAAAAAGACAAAGGGACCTCCTCGCCCTCCTCGAATCTCTAGCTCGCTGGTAGTCACGATATGGTACGCATATCGTCGTCGACTAGCAGAGCTAGCAACTATTACTACTACATAGCATACGAGCACCGCCATGATCAAAAATTACGCTACGTTACTGGCGGCTTGTGGTAATCGTCTAATACATCTCGTCATCGCCTAAGGCATAGGGTATGCTAGATATTCCACCGGTGCGTATCCGCTCCCCCTTGGCATCCCATCTCAGGCATAAAAGGATCTGTACGTTCGCATTACATAGGTACGTCGTACGCTCGTATTGGCCGGCCTGCCTGCCAGCCGAGCTTGGTAGTGAAGTTCTCGCCGATTTTACAAGCATCACCACGCACACTCATACGCGCCCACCGCACGTACGTAGAGAGACTACATACCTAGTATTTATGTTCTAGAGATCACCTACGACCAGCGAGCGATTGGTCCAACCATGCAAACCCACTGGGGAAAAAGTCCTGCGTTTTGCCGATCCGGCTATCTTGATTTCGAGATACCTACCTGCAAACTGTCGTCATCACCGTTGTCGCATTATACATATCACGACAACCGTTTCCCCCCCAGGCTCGTATCCATCGGTACTACAGGTGTGTGTATTGTGCACAATGGCGCGGCGTAATTCATGCCAAGTTGCGAGTCTATGATGAGTTTTCTCTCGCCTCAGCGACGGTATGATAATTGTGGTATAGTGCAGCAACGGGGACGACCGTCTGTAACCACAGAACATATGAAGAGATGATCCACACACGTACACGCGGCCACTCGCTTACATGTATGAAAGGAGTCCAACTAACGTATATGTTCGACATGAAACATAGGGATCTATTTATACGCGTACACCCGCATCGAACAGGTCACCCTTGGCATCTCAAATCTTTTAACATCCTCACAATTGACTATCGAATCCAATCCATGTTCAGGGACCCGACAGATCCGGACACCCAGGGTGAGAATCCCTTCCCAGCGGTTCGCCGTCAGCAACGAGGATCTACCTACAAATTAAGACCAGGACGAAAAGACTTTTTATTAAAAATTTCACGTGAGCAGAATGGGAGCTTTATATATATAGCCGGCTGACGGATCTCTCCATCTACTCATCTCCTATCTAGAATCGACATCGCCATCATCGCTTCTGCCAAGCGGGCCGAGTCGTCATCAATGCATATCTGCCAAGGACTAAAGTCACGCATACAGTACATATATAGGTATCACCGTCCGCCCAGTGATATATACACTCATATGAGCACAGGAGATGGCGCCCACGAGTAATGCCATTCATATCGTAGTATTTATTTTTGGCAAACTAGCAGTTCGGACGCCATCCACACTACAACCGGACTGATGAGCCCGATACTCACGAGTAATAGCATGCGACTGACTTGCTCCCCCCCCAAAATGCAATGTTGACGAGACCCTCTACGCTTCTCGTAAATGCATCCGTTAACCAGTGACCATGGAACTGCCCAGAACGCCATACACGAAAATAACGATGCACCGACTCCCCCTAAGCCCCTTCTTCCCATCCATGTACTTCCTCAGAAGAGCTGCCACTCGGTGAGCCAGGGCTTGTTGACGCGCGAGTAGTCGGCGCCGTGCTTGTAGTCGCTGATGAGCTCCTCCTCGTCTATGCCACAGTGGGTGCGGCCGTCGCGCCCTTCGAACCAGCCGAGGCCGTAAGTCTTGCCGATGCCCTCGAGGCGGTCGCGCATATGCGCACTCGTGAACTTGGCCGTACCGACGAAGTCATACAGCATCTTGCTCTGATGCATGAAGGCGAGCACGCTCGCGATCGTGCTAGGCTGCCGCGGCAAAAACGGTCGCCGTCGCCGCACGAGCGCTACAGTCGCCACGATTCCCAGATACGCGAGAATCAGCACCGTCAGCGCCAGCGTCACCGTGAACGAGAGCACCGTCTCCGACGACGCGCCGAGGCCCTGCTCGAGGATGCCGTCGTTGCCCCCGCTTCCGTCCGCTGCCGAGCGGATGAGGCGCGCCATCGTTCTCTGGGTGGTAGTAGCGCTGCCGCCGTTGCTGCTGACGATATCGAGAAAGTCCTGGCCCTCGACCGTGGTGAGGCTCGTGACGAAGATGGTGAGAACCTCGACGAGGACGGTGCCCCAGCCGACGAGGAAGACCATCCAGTGGCGGTTGACGAGGGCGCGGGCGGCGACGACGGCGAAAGGCATGGCGGTGTAGTCGAGGGTGAGGGTGCGGGGGGGTGCGTGCCGCCGCGAGAGGATATAGTATGGCTCGAGCAGGCGCACCGCCATCTCGAGCCCTCCCCACGCAAGCTTGATGCACACAGCGAGCGCTGTTACCACCCACGGCACCCGGTCCGTTACCGCCCGCGCCGGCGTGAATAGGAACACCGGGATAAACCCCAGAAACGCGAACACGCCCACGATGAACGGCACGCAGCCCTCTGGGCGCAGCATCAGCGGGTGCGGGTTCTTCGACGAATGGGCGTCGCCGTTGTCCTCGGTGCCGGTTTTGTCGTCCTCGCTGGCGGCGGTGTTGATGTTGCCGTTTTTGGCGTCGCCGTCGCCGAAGTCGACGCCGTTCCCGAATTGGTTCGCGAACGCCGAGGGCGAGGGCACCGCATCAGGATCCGCGTCGACGGGTACAAGCGATGAGTTGCGCAGGGCGTAGCGACGGTCACGCAGGCGGCGGTGGATTTCGCCCGGGCGCGCGACGTCGGTGTCCTTGAAGTCCATCATGATGTGGCTTGCAACGGCCATAGAGGCGAGGCCGGCGATGCCGCGAACGTCAGACAGCAGCCCCGATCGCCGCGACCCGAGCTGGTACGATAGGACGCACCCGAGCGCCGCGGCGACCACGAACGTTGCGCTCAGCAGCCGCGACAGCAGCGGGCTGACGACAATTATCTTTTCAACGTCTGGGTGCACGAGACGCGTGGCGCGGTCTGGTTCTAGGACGAAAGCGGCGGCGCTGAGCGTCGGCACGAGCGACACGGCAAGCAAGGTAGCGACGGCGGAGACCGCGACGGCGTGGTGGCCGCGACGCAGGGCGCGGAGGGGGCGCGCGAAGCTGAAGAGCGTCACGTAGTCGACGTTGAGGGACTCGGCAGCGCGGGCGCCGCCCTCGCGCGACAGCTGGTAGAAGGCCTCGAGGCGGCGCACTTCGAAGTCGGTGCCTTGCCACAACACGCCATAGGTGACCGCGACGATAGTTGGCAGGAACTTGAACACGAAGTAGTAGCCGGCCCCCATGTCGGTCGCGCGCTGGAACTGGATTAGCGGCTCCCGCGCCGACTTCTGGTACAGAAGCTCCTGGCAGACGGCGAGGCCGATTGAGAGCAGGATAAGGCCCGTCACTAAGGGGGTTGGCGCGTGGTCAGCTGGCGCGGTAGGAATTCACGGAGAGGCCGAAGCAGGCAGAGAGTGGCCAGAGTCGGGGGGCGGTAGGCGGACTCACGATACGGCCACCTCATCGAGAAGGGCTTCCAATTCGGCTGCGGGTAGAACACCTCGCGCCTGCCGGCGGGCGCGGGGATCTGGGAATAGCGCGAGCGGTTAGTGTCGACGCGGACGGCAGCCGGGCCGGCCATGGAGCTGAGGTCGACGTCGGCGGGGCGGCCCTCGTCCTCGTCGTCGTCCTCTAAGATCACCTCGATGACCTCGCCGCGGCGGTTCGCCTCGTTCTGGCCGCGCTCCCTAAGCTCTGCCCGCGGGCTCTGGCGTGACGAGAAGGTCCGCGTGAAGGTGCGTTTGAGGGCGGTGGTCCCCGTCGCCGCAGCGGGCGGCAGCTGCTGGCCCCGGATCGTCGCCTGCGGGACGCCCATCCCCGCGCCCAACCCCCCCGTCAGCTTGCCGCTCGCTTCCTGCGCCTGGAGCGCCCGCAGGAACTCCGGGTCGTCCTGCGCGCCCATCGGCCCCGCGAACGAGGTCAGATCGATGGCGGGGGCGGGGTCGTAGAGGGGGGGAGCGGTGGGAGGACCAGCGGTAGCGGTGGCTGTGGGGATAGCAGGATTGGGAGCGGGAGGGAAGTGAGGCGCATAGGATCGGCTTAGGGGCGCGGCGGCGCTGAGAAGCGACATGTCTATACTCTCGTCCTCGTGGATCGTATCATGAGCCCGGGAGCGGAAGCTCCTGAGGTGTCGGGACGTCGGCGTCGAGCGGTTGGGCGGTGATAGGGGCTGGTACCGCGTCGTACCCGCCGATCCTACGAACGGGGCGGACCACGTCGGGGCGGATCCGTAGAGGTCCTCGCCCGGCGGCCCGTCGACCCGTGGAGATCCGTACGACGACTGGAGCGAGACGAGGGACTCCCGGCCCCTGACCCGAGCGGAGGAAGCGTCATCGTTGTTGTTGTAAGCGCTGTCCGACAGATCAGAGACTTTGTGGTTTAAGTAGGGTTGGCCAGTCTGCTGCGGCGCCTGGTAACGGCTACTGTAGTAGTTGTAGTAGTAGTTGTTATTGTTATTGCCATCATTGTAAGCCATGACTAATGTGACACTTATCGCAACACGCCGCAGCGTAGCGACGAATAGTGCTTGACGGTAAGATTCCTAGCTTGAGATGTGCTTGGCCGGCACCGCTTTAAGAGCTGCGGGAGGCGGGAAAACCCATGCCGAGACGGAGTCGAATATTTGTGCTTCCTGATACTGCAGAGGGACACGGCGAGCACAGGGAGTAGAACGAGCGGGAGTTATCGGTAGTCTTGAGGGACGACGGACACAAGGGGTGGTGTCCTGCTCTATCGTGCTCTATGCCTGTCGGCAGTTTTTGCTTGTTGTTCCTTTCTTGGCTCGAACCGGAAGACGCGAATAGGGTCGACACAAGACGGCGATACGAAAAGTACTAGGCGTAGATTTATAGGCAGATATATAGATGTGTTTGTTCCTATCGTCTCTGTCCGTAGAACTGATTAGATATTACCGGGGTTTATATCGCAGTCTCTCTCTCTCTCTATGCTTCTATGTCTTATATATGGCGGAGGAATCCGACGAGTGCTTCTCCAGCGGCGTGTACGTGTAGATACAGAAAACGTGCGTTGCGAATAACTCACGGGTGAAATAGAGAGACAAACAATGAAGGAGAAGGAAGGAAAATTGGCGCGACGCCGTCTCCGCTGGCACGAATGGGCCAATATCCACATCGACGCCCGCCTGCTCATCTACTTCCTCTTCCACATTTACCTATAGCGACCGCTATCTATCACAGCCGAAATAGTCATTTTTCAGCCTGCCAAGAGCCGGGAAACAGGCAGATGGGGTCCAGTGGGAGGGGCTAGCGACGCGAACAGCGTCAGCAAGCCTCAGCCGTAGTGGATCGGGGAGGGGAGTAGTAGCTCAACAGCAACGGGGTGGAAGAAGCTCTACATACTTGACATTACCGACTGGGGATGACGAGGACAGACGAGGGTCAGGGGATAAGGGATAGGGACCATTCGGACTGGTAGCCAGCCCAGCCAAGTCCAGTCCAGCCCAAGTCTCGACGATCCATGCCAGCCCAAACACAGCCGCATTTGCTTGCTTGCTTGGCAACTCAACTGCTGGAGATTTGTCCGTCTGACCGGCGATCGGGGGCCAAAAAAGCAGGGGGAGCCATCGCGAAAGCGCCGACGCCCTGGGCGGCTTGCTAGGCGAGTCCACTTACACGCACTGTTTACTCGCTTAAACCCCGGTTATCCCATTCCCCCTTTCTTCGTCCTTATAGGGCTAAAAGATCGTCTGGAGATGCATGGCAGATACCGGGTTTAGTTAATCAACTACCTATACCTATGGCGAGGCGGCGGAATACATGGAAAACATCTCCATTATCGCTCGTCGAAGAGCAGCAGGCATATCTCCTTACCGATGCTTACTTATAGCAATTCCGTAACAAGGTATTAACGGTGTCAGAATGTTGGTTTCCTTCTCGGCCACGCCCTTCTCCTCTCCCCCCTTCGAAATAAATCCCTCGCCCGTCCCAGGGCCAGGAAAAGGAGCCCAAAGATCCGAGACCCGACGCCTCTTGTAACCCGCCTTCACTCACCGACCTCGCTCTCGTGCGCCACACCGTCTGCCACCTTTGTGTTTGACGTGCTCTGCCGCGCGACTGAGTAATCTCCACCGTCGCAGCCGTGCTAAGCAGAACAGCCGTCAGCGTCTCGATCGTCGCGCCGTGTCTCGCCCGAGCCGGTGGCTGAGGCGTGTGCGTAGCGTAGGTAGTTGGGCTATGGCGGCGAGGAATGATTTTGGAAAGGGGAGGAGGACGAGGAAAAGGGGCCGGAAGCCAGTAAGCACCTCTGGCATACCTATCGCCAACTCAAGCCGTCTGTCTGCCTCGAGACCCCGCCTCGGTGAAGCACTCCGGCTCTAGGCCAAGATGTATGTGGCCTCAGGCCCATCGGCAGACTGGCTGCCTCCAGTAGCGATATCTGCGATGGGCTACCAAGACGAGGCGAAACAGCGCCGGTGTCCAGGCTGGGCCTAGTCTTTTTTTCTCTTTCCTTGCTACTGCCTCTCGTCTCACCACGAACGGATGCCGTTTTCTGCCATCCTGAACCCATCGTCGGATTTCGTCGCCAACAGGCCGGTCACTGCCTTAGGCCTTGTATTATTTACGCGACGCGCTTGATTAGACATACGACTTCGACTTCTGGGTGCCGCGAGACGATCCACTCAATGGCCCCGTTACGAAGAGGGCAGACGCCGTTGCCTTGAAAAGATGAACGTGCTGACTTTGCATTTCTAACCAACACCAGCGTTATATACCTATCCAGACGTGCCCGGCGCGGAAGGCCGTAGGGCGTGCGATTCTTGTACTCATCACTCTGCGTAGACCATGCTCCAACCTATCACCAACCACCTCTTTCCCCGCTCTCTCCCTCCCCCCTCCTCTCTCTCTCTCTCTCTCTCTCTCTCTCGCATTCTCTCCTCGTGGTGCGCGTGCGTGCGCGCGCGCCTAGTGGAACTGGTCCTCGGTGACGCCCTGGCCCATGGCAGCGACGCTGCTGACGCCGCCGGTGACGAGCTTCTGGAGCTCGTCGACGTAGGCGGCGCCGCTCCAGCGCTGGTGGGTGACGACGTCGACGCCGGCGGCCATCTCGGGCTCCTGGACGAGCTCGCCGTACGCGCGCATGCCATCGCGCGCGTACGCCGCCGCGAACCGGTCGCTCGCCAGCGCCGTCGTGTGCAGCCCCGCCAGCGTGATGAACTGCCAGCAGTACCCCAGCTGCGCCAGCCGCCGGATGTACGTCTCCTGCTCGTCCCGCGGCATCGCCGCCTTCCAGTTGAACGACGGCGACAGGTTGTACGCGAGCCTAGACGAGGGGGGTTAGCTTTTGGTCTCGTGCGTGCGTTTGCCTGTCTGCGCATGTTCTTGCGTCCCCCCCCCTCCCCTTTCCCTCTCTCTGCTCTGCTCGACCGAGGGAAAGGGGGCGCCGAAGGACACGGAGGATATGCAGAATAGCAATAAGAAGAGAAAAAAAAAGGGAGGGCGAGAGGGAACGTACTTCTTCTCGGGCCACACGGCGTGCACGCCCTCGGCGAACTCGCGCGCCTGCGCGTAGTCGGGCAGCTTGCTCTCCATCCAGATGGCGTCGCTGTAGGGGGCGTAGGCGATGGCGCGGGCGATGGCGCAGTCGCAGCCGCCGCGCAGGCGGTAGAAGCCCTCGCGGGTGCGCGGGGCGTCCCAGTCGAAGAAGACGTCGGCGACGCCAGCGACGGCGCGCGCGGCCTCGCGGGCCTCGGCGAGGCTCTTGCCGCGGGCCGCCGCGAGGTAGCGGGCGGCGACATCGTCGGCGCTAGCACCGCCGCTAACCAGGGTGCTGCGGCCGCCGCGGATCGCCGCGACCACGGCGTCGTCGAAGCGCTGCAGGTTCGCGCGCCGCAGCCAGTCGTCCTCGACGGCCTGCAGCGCCGCGCCCGTCTTGCCCTCGCGCTCCGCCGCCGCCATCAGCTCGCCGAGCGGCGCCAGCCCCGGCGTCGTCGCGCCCAGGATGAAGGGGTGGTCGCGCGGGTCGATGGTGGTGGTGATAAGCGTCGCCGCCTCGGCGTCGGTGCGCGCGATGGCGAGCAGGTCGACGCCCATGATGTCGGCCTGCGCGCGGATCGCGACCAGCCGGTTGATGTGCTCGCTGATGGGCACCAGCACCTTGCCGGCCATGTGCCCGCACTTCTTGGTGCCCGGCGCCTGGTCCTCGATGTGGATCCCGGCCGCGCCCTGCTCGACGAACAGCTTCGTCAGCTTCATCACCGCCGTCAGGCCGCCGTGGCCCGTGTCGGCGTCCGCGATGATGGGCCGCAGGTAGTCGATGTTGGGCAGCTTCGCGCGCGCGGCCCGCGGCGTGCTGATCCGCTCCTGGCGCTGCTTGCGGTCGTGGAAGAGCTGCGCCATGAACAGGTGCTTGACCTTGTTCGGGACGGTGGTCTGGTGGTGTCGGTCCAAGGCTTGTCAGTACCGACGACACTTCTTTGTCTCCGTGGATAGGGAGGGGAAGGGAGAATTCCGGACCCGAGGAAGAGGAAGACAGAAAGAACGACGAAGAAAAGCGAAACAGGAATGGTTAAACTCACGTATGGGTAATCTGCCAGATCTGGACCGGGCTCGTCAGATGACGAGGCGGTCGAGGAAGACTGCCAGCCGGAGACGTAGACGGTATCCAGATACTTGGCCATCTGCGTGACCATGGTCGGTTCCAAACAGCCATAGGTGTAGCTAGCATCGCGATTCTATATTTCCAGGGTAACCTCTTAGCATTTGGGCCCCCGTTTCCATCTCTTCAATGGAAGGGGAAGGGGAGGAGGAGGCTCAGACGGACCTGGAAGCGGTTCTCTAAGATGTTCCACAGCTTCTTCGCCTGGGCGTTGCTTGGGTATTCGATCTTAAGGTTGCCTCTCTTAGAGACAATCTGCTCGGCAGTGAAGGGTCGCCGGGTGTACCTCCATCTGGGATCGCTCCACCACTTCTTGACGGCCTCGACCTCTTGCGCGAACAACTCGTCCTCGGTGTCCGGGTTGACGGCCGGGTTGATCATGTTGTTCGACGCCATGATTACGGGTAGGTAGGTGAAGTTAACCGCAGCAATGAGGAGAGTTGGTGAAGCTGGCCGGTGCTGACGTACACAGGTAGGTATACCTATACTAGGTGCGAGCGGGTAGGTGTACTGTATGGAATGGATGGTCTTTTAATTCTACTGGCTCCAATACGATGTATCTATAAGCCGGAAGCTCACACAACACGAAGTATCATGTAGGTTTGTATGCGTATATGTATGTGGTGTGTGTGTGGTATGTGTGTTCGTGCGTGTATATGTGTGTGGTAACGGCCTCAACCCAGGGAGAGAGAACAAAGACAGCAAAGAACTAGTTCGAATCAGGCCAAACCGACGGTCAGGTTGGGGAAGGTTTTATTGCAGAGGAAGAGGGAGGGCAAGGCTAGATAAAAGCTACGGATGTAGACGGACGGGGCAGCAGCTATGACACATGTACGCGACCTGACGTGAAGGACTCATCTGGTCCGATCGACAGGGAGATCTTAGCCCGGCCAGCCTACCCACGACGCCTCCCACGAGCGACGCCGTTTTTTTTTTTTCGGCTGCGATCGGGCAAGCGGCTATGCGGACCCCATTACCAGGGAGCGGGATGGCGATGTACCTACATGACATGGTGACTCCTCGCCCGCCACCGCACCCGATATAGCAGGGACGCAGGCCCTCTCGGAGGGGCCAGGAGCCCCGTAGTAGCAGTAGCAGTTCTGCCGGCGCGCCTCGGAACAGAGATGAAGAAAAGGGAAGAAGAAATAGGAAAAAGTAGGAACCAGGTAAGTAGGCAGTAGCCGTCAGTGGTGTCGACGATGGCGGAGGCCAGCCAGCACCACGAACACTACGTACAGCACCGTAGCATCACGACATGACAGCATTTCCATAGGCGCGTCCCTCTTCTAGCTTCTGAAGGTCCGTGAGAGCGAGAGTGTGGCCTCTCGGCTCAAGGGGACGAGACGGTCTGGACGGCGCGCGGGTAGGGGGTGCGGTCTGGATTGCCGTAATTGGCCGAGAAGCCGAGTTAGGGCCCTGACAAGGACCAGACACGAGAGGGAGGGAGAGAAAGGGTTGGATCTCCGTAAGAGAGGATGGATCCGGGTCGCCCCCCTCTCTCTCTCCATTCCATCCATCCATCCCACGATCCGCCTAGCTTCCCCGCAATCTGGAGGGTTACTTATCAGTCGCGGACCACCTCTATGTGTAGGTGTGACGGACATAGGTATCTATAACCAAAAGAGGTACCTACCTATAGGGGTTTAACTACCTACCTAGGTAGGTAGAGATAGACTTAATAATAGAGACTACCAAGTAGCGCTGTCAGGAATCGAACCTGTCCTCTATTATCAAACCCACGGAGCTCGACCCATACAACAGGCACGCGCCCCCGCGCGCTATTACAACACTGCCTGCTCCAGTATACGTCGGAATACAGGATCTTACAAGGATAAGATACGCTCCACTACTATCGTATAGCCTGCACTGGTACACACGTACCACCTAAAAGGACCTTATTACAAAGGCGGCACTCTGGCTCGAACCAGTAGCTTCTGGGGTTTAAAGTACGCAGTACCTGCTGCCTGGACGAAGTCACCAGATAGGCTTAATAATAGAGACTACCAAGTAGCGCTGTCAGGAATCGAACCTGTCCTCTATTATCAAACCCACGGAGCTGGTAGGTAGGTAGGTACCTAGATCAAGTCGCTTCGCAACCTAAGCCTCTCTGCAACTCTCTACGGGCACCTATAGAAAGGTATATTTGACATCGCCCAATCCCGCAGAGAGTAATATGCAAAAGAGGAGAGCGGACTGGTATGTATTATCCAGCACAGAGATACACAAATTCCGTACATGCGAGGGCTCGGAATCGGCACCGATAGATTCGGAAAATAATCACCTATAGGTACGTAGTAGGCGTAGCAGTCCGCCAGGAGTTGGGAGAACCTGACATGTGACGACGCACAGAGCGACACGACTCAGCACACCGCGGGGCTACTAACAACGATAACCACATATCCACAACGATAGCAGCAAACCGCAACAGCAATACCAACAACAACCATCCTACACTCCGGGAAGCGCACATGTGCGCACATGGCGGGCCAAGGTCTGCGCGATCGCGTCGGCTCCTTTGCCTAGGTAGACTGCAACTCTGCACGTCTCTTTTATCTACGTGCGCGGGCAAAACCCGCCTCAGCAACTCCCCCCCCCCCCCCCCCCCCCCTTACCTCACGTAGTCCCCGAGCCTCGGTTAACTTGGCCGGAAGCTTAGCCGCCACTTAGTCTCGTGGCGAGTCCTCGGCGCCCTCTCCTCTACTACGATGTGCTACCACTTGGCATGATGCATGGATGACGCGCGCGCGCCGACGGACAGGCGTAGAACCGTACGCAGTTACGCAAGCAGCTAAGTCTACCCAGGGAGACGGAAGTGGATGTTCGCGTGGGTGTATGTGTGCTGTGCGTGGTGGGCATACTAGTATAACTATATCGCATAGACATATATCTAGACATAACCTGCTGGGTCTATCTTAGCAGCCCTTGCCGCGGAAAGAGAAAAAAAAAGCCAGGCAGGCTTGCCACACACACGAACAGGATTCCCGACTCGCTGGCGCTTCCCGTCGCCGGCCGAGCCCCGTTGTCAATTTTGCCTGCCGCCAACAATCACCAAATCCCATCCCTCGTCCCGGCCAGCTGCGGTAGAAGTAGGGTGTATCTATCCTTTCCCTACCCTCTCCTCCTTCTCCCCTCTAAACTAAAGACGTCTTGCCCATGCGATGGGCCCATTTGCGACCGTTCTAGAGGCATATCAAACGTGTCCAATCGGGATTATGCTGTCCTCGAGAAAGTGACAGAAGTGGCACTACCATCCCCCTCAAATCTCTTTTCTATACGTCAAATACGTTTTAGGGCAGCTCTTGAAGCAGCTTCTCTTCCTTCAGCTGCTGAGCCCGTTCGTAGGTTTCGTAAGGAGTGAGCGTCCCCAGCGCTCTCTTCATCTCCGTGTTGATAAACTGCAGTCCGTACACGTAACTGGCATTAACCCAACCGAACCTAGACGGGAGAATCGCGCGTGTTAGTGACGGGTCTCTCGATTGCGTGGATACAATAATAATTGTCTGTCTTGCTCCTTACCCTTCCTTTGCGACGCCCTTGAAATCGGACCCTTGGTTCCCGTACTCGGCGTCGACTCGATGAGGATCGACGGGTCGAGTGACGTCGTACTTCTCTACGACGACGCCGTTAAAGTCGAAGAAGGCTTTCGTGACCATGAATAACCACTTGTAAGCCAGCTTCTGCGCGAGGTCCGCATACCCGTAGCGGTACAGGCCCGTCCACGCGAGCATCTGCTGCGGCGCCCACCCGTACGGATAATCCCACTGTCGGTTAGGCCGCTCCAGGCTGACAGCGCCGCGAGACTCCTCGGTCCCGGACAAGAGACCGCCGTAAGCCTCGAACTTGGGCACCGCGCATTTGACCACCTTGGCTGCCCTCTCGGGGTCTGGCACCCCGGCCCAGAGCGGCCAAAAGGTAGTGCACGTCTCGTACGTGCACCGCTCTTGCTTCACCGTGTCGTAGTCGAAGTACATGCCCTTCTCTTCGTTCCAGCAGTATTTGTGGATCGCCGCCCGTCGCCTCTTCCAGCGACGGTCCCAGATGGCCGATGTCTCGACTTGGCCGGGTACCATCCCGTCGCCGCACCACTCCGCCGGAATCTCCAGCTTATCGCCGAACACGTTGCGGATGGTGCGGGCGATGTCCATCTCGTACTTGTAGATCAGCGAGTTCAGGTCGATCGTCGCGAGATTGGCGCAGACCTTCTCCAGCCGGTACGAGGTATCGTGACCCGATTCACGAACCGCTCGGTCGTGCAGGAAGTACTCGTCCAATTCCGGCTCCGACACCTCCCGATAGTTGTAAGCCCGCACGAACTGCTTGAAGCTCATGTTGTATTTCTCAGCGTAAGGTTCAAGAATGTGGACGAAGTGGGACGCCTCCGTTTCCGGCGGCACGCCCAGTCCTTCCGGTCGGTATCTCGAGAGGCCAGTCTTCTGATCCAACCGCGGCTCCGACGTCCACACGCAGTAGTATTCCTTGATGGCGGCGAGAAGCGCCGTGCGCAGGAACTCGACCGCACCAGGTTCGTGCTGAATCTTTTCGTATACTCTCAGCGCCATATCCGTCAGGAACGGCGGCTGGGATCGCATCAGATAGTACGACCTGGTGGCGTTCAGGATTTTCCCGTAGTGCTTGATGCAGAAGCAGAAGTTTTGGACCATCGACTTCGCCAAGTGCGCCTTGTCGTTGACGAGGAGCCCGAGAGACTCCATGTAACTATCCCACCCATACAGCTCGTTGAACCGCCCTCCCGGAACGACAAACGGAAGTCCCCGCAGCGTCTTCTCCCCCGTCTTCGGGTCGACAAACTCCTCCATGGCGACAGCGAGGAGTCCCGGTTTCTCGTTCATATCTCGCACCATCTCGGGGGTTATCTTCTCGGGTAGGAGCTGGACGTCGAGCCGAATCTCGGGCCGATCCTGAGCTAGTTTCTTGTAATACTCGTACTGCTCCGGAGCGCCCCTCGGGACGTAGATGCGGGGCTGCGGGTCGTCCGTCCAGTCCTTGGGGTCTTTTGCGGCAATTTCGATACTCGAGGCATCGATGCGGCGGGTCAGGCCTTCCCAAAACTGATTTCTGATGAGTCGGGATAGTCTGCTTACGGGGTTTTCGTTGAGGCGACCTATGTCGAGGATGATGCGCTTCCGTCCGAACTCCTTAGCCATGTATAGCTCCTGCAAGAGATTTGAGAGCATGTACGTTCCCCTGATGTCGAATCGGTTGTGGCCGCCGGACGCGGCCGTTCGCAGGGCCATTACCTAGGTAGCAAGAGGCTTCAGTTTTGCTGAGTCAATCTCTCTCTCTGCTCCTTCTTAGCTCACCTTCGGGCCGGCATCTTCGATCGTGATTTGCATGTTGCCATCTGTATCTTCTTGTGCCTGCAAGCTCTCTAGGGTGTGTTCGACGTCGACGAGAAACTGGCGGGAATGCGGCCGCGTAGATTCGTCTGAAGGTTCCCTCGGAAAGATGATCAGTTTGCCTTCTCCCCCCTTTCGATAAACGGAGGTATTCCCGCACCATGACTGCCTCGTCTGTGTGGCTCGTGGAGTCCTAAGCGCCCGATATCCTGGACGATGCCGTTCTGGATTTCTCCCTTAGCGAGGGCTTCCGAAATCGGTGGACGGGGGCGACGGTACGACGTACCTGGGAGTATGTGCGGTTCCGCTTGTGCGACCGGTCCTCATGGCGGGCATCCGAAGTGTAGTAGGTTCGGGCATCCTCGAATACGCCGATGTCGTCGTTTGCGCGGACTCCGTCTTTACTGTCACGTCGACGGGCTTGGGTCGGATTCGATGCCAGCTCAGCCATACCGGGACAGGGGCAGTGGTGCGCCGATACGCTGGGGGGGTCGAGAGGGCGAGAAGAAGAAGCGATAAGAAATACTGTTAAAAAGATGCAATTCTAACTCCTTGAGAATTAGGGAGCGCTTAGATGGCTATGGGCCTGGAGTACTCTTGGAGATTCTTTTTTTTTTCTATCGTCGTGATTGACGACCGCCCCGCTGTTTTCTGCCTATGATATACTGTATATCGGTATACTTCTTCAACCAATCGTCGTCGTTACGAGGGGCAAAAGCGAGGCAGCGCGAGGAGCACGCCAGGAGGGTGAGTCGACGTTAAATAGTAGCAATGGGGTCGCAGGGCGAAGGGGTCGTCAGGCGCTTTCGAGCAGCGCTTGGTTAGCAGCTGCCACGAGCGGCAGTAGGGGAGTATGGTAGAGTCGAGCGAGCTGATCAGTTCCAGGTCCTTGCGCACATCTACAAGGGGACGACACAGGAACCCGACCGTCTCTTTGGCTGGGACTCAATAACCGAAACCCGAAACGGAGGGAACTATGGACGCTCGGGTCCTGGGAAATTCTCAGGAGTGGCAAGTCGGCAACGTTGGATATGAGCTGCGTTATTAGACCTGGCCCGCGCGGGATCGGTGCTGTGGTATCGCGTTATGCACCTACGCACATACGTACACTCATGGACATACACGGATACAGTAGGCAGGCGATGGACGTGGGCATGTATAATAGCTAAAGAGAGGGAATGAAGCTGTAGTCTAGAGAGAGAGGGAGAGGGCAGAAGAGTGGATGAAGACACAACAAGGTGAAGAGCACGACGGGCGGAGGTGAGCTGGGAATGGCCGGCGACTGCATAGAGGGATATACAAAGGTACACGGGCAAGAGGCGATCCCGGGCAGGGGTGGATGATGTCAGACATGTAAGCCATTCGCGAAGGTTGCGGGAACCGGCGGGTCGCTGGCACACCTCCGCCCAATTGACCAATCCAACCTTGTACCTAGTACATGCGCTCCGTAGCACGTGTTCACTCCCAGGTCCACCACAGGGGGGACAGGAAGGACCGAGCAGCAGGAGTTTGGGGGAATGGCCAGCGGTACGGAATAACGCAGCGCCTGACGAGCCGGGAATCCATGCCAGTCCATGCCGGGATCATGTCATCTAGGGATTCCCCGCCCTTCTCCTGCTATCTCCCCCTCCTCTCCCCGATCTCCGTATCCTTCTTCTCACGCCTCCTCGCCACCTCTGTTCGTATGTGCGTCCTCTCTCACCCCTCAATCGAAGTCAAAGAACAATACTTATTATACCTCTCGGTCTTGAGCATGGAGCTCGGGGATACCTGTATTCGCAGTTAAGATGAGGATATGCTTCTCTCACCCATCTGGCATCCCTTGCCGTCTGGCCCCCCTCCACTAACGAGGATAACGAGGATAGCGAGGATAGCGAGGATAGCGAGGATAGCGAGGATAGGAAAAGGTAGGGAGGGCCCCCAACGGTATCGCTTTCTACTTCACCTATCCAGACTACCTTCGTGTCAGTATAGGCATCGAAGCCCTCCTAGGTAGGACCACTGCAGTCTGCACAATGACGGCGGAGCCCCGCCCGACTGCCACCCCACCCGCTTGTAAATATATTAAACCCCGACTCCGATCTCCGATCGCCTGTGGTCTTGCTCTATTGTGCCGCCGTTGCGTTGCAAATGACGACTGTTGAGCCGGTAATATGTACCTGTCCGTAGGTAGGGGTCGGCACGCGGGCACTTTTGATAGGGCGGGGGATGTCCGGTGGCTGCCCGCGGGAACGAATCGATCGTCACTCCAGAGACCGCCAGGGAGACGGATCACCGAAGTGTGTAATGTGGCCTAAACCTCACTTATCTGTCAAGTTGGCTCTTCAGCCGACTGACGAAATAGACGGGTGACGCGAAGGGGTTTCGTCCTACCGCTATTGCTTCTCAGCTGTAGCTGCGGAGTTGATCGGCGACATCACTTGTAATATGCCCCCAATTAGACGCACCGATCGGGGACACGTAGACCATCGGTTCGAAGTGACGGGAACTGCACAGGATCGACGCTCGCGTCAGGCCGATATCGTCCCGCAGCGAAAGATCGAGCTTTCTACACGCCAAACCTCCAGCCGGCAGCTGCGTAGATGCGCCACGAAGAGAAGCTTGTCAGTGATGATCTTCCGAGGAATCCGTTGAGGACATCGGCAGACTCGCCAAATCGAGGCGATCATGTGGACGATCCTAGAGGCACTGTGACGGTGGAGGATGTGTAGCGACGTGCTGAGGTTAGATCATCTGTTCTCTTATCCAACTCTGACCACGCGATGGTGTATTTTGCCTATGTCCTTCGAGAGTACCCAGCGCAAGGTATACAGATCTCTGACATTAGGTATGAGTAGATTCACAGACTTGAGATGTGTCGGGAAGATGTGGTATGCGTAGAGACCTTTATGCATAGGTACTGCAGTTCCCTGCCAAAAGCCTACCTCACCGCGCCGATTCTTTTTCCGTAGACAGGCATACATACGTCTGTACCTCCTAACCCCTCTAGTAAGGCGGAGGCAACATTACTTATGTCTGTACACATATAGCAGAGATATCCTTCCACGTGGGCAGATTCACGTGGAGAGACCAGCTACTAAGAAGCTTATGTGTATACCCGATGATGGACGAGCCCGGGCGCCGCAGTCCTCGCCTTGGTCGATTTCCTAATCCGGCATACGGCGAGTTCGGCATCTCGAGGAGCAAGGGTAGGCTGCGTTACGAGCTTCCCTGCCTATCAACTGCAAATCGCCCCTCGAGGCCAGCTCATCCCGAGCACTATCATTGCTAACCCGTGTTGGGAAGCATCGGAGAACCGAATAAGGGTCGCCCCCACGGCGCCTAGGGCCTTTTGGTCTCGTACGCGTCTGACATGCATCCCAATCGTCGGGGTCTAGAGCGCGCGGTAAACGTGCCGAAAGTCGCCTTGGGAGGGTCAGCTCGTTTGGATAGGTCCGATAGCTCTCTCTCGCTCGCCGAACTCGTAGCCGCCAGCCCGCCAATACCGTATGCATGGCGCAGAGCAAATCGCTGCGAGCTGAATGCCAAGGCGAGGTCAAGAAGGGGCGAGAGAGCGAATAGCTTCCCGCCACGCGCAAAGAGTGGCTGCGAGGTCAATCTCCCGGGAGATCATCCAGGGATGAAAAGTCTTCGAGTCACCACTTTTGTCTCTGCCTCTCACCTCGAAGCGGTGATGATATCTGATGGATGGCCCGGGGCCTTGCGCATGCACACCTGAACACCTGCCAACTTGCCAATGTGCCTGGCTCCTCGCTACACGACATACATGTTACGCAGGAGGGTGGCACTGCGTCCCGTTCGTAGTGTCTCGAGTCGAGTCGTCTCCGGCTATGCCGGGATGTGGTAATGGTAGGTAGGTTGGATAGTGAGGGTAATGGGTACGCGACTACGCTATACCCTACTATGTAATAGGTTGGGTATATAGCGGTAACCAGATCGAGGACACGGCTGTCGAAGCCGGTAGGCGTATCGACGGCACTGGTGATCCTGGATCGAAGGTAGGTAGAAAAGGGGGCAGGTTTTCCGGCCTGGGACTCCCGCAGATGGAAAAGAGTTCCCTACCTAAGCTCACTTTAGGCTTAGGCAGCTACCTCCTAGCCAGGTTAGTAGGAGGTATGTACCTATTTTAACCTGTAGTGAAATGGGCGCCTTAGGTACTAAGTTATAGGTGGGTCTGAGGAAGCTTGACGGCGGAAACTAACAGGCTAAGCACCTAGGAGGTACCTACCTACCTACCTGTAGTAGGTACCTAACCTACAGTAGAATTTGCCGCTTATCGTACAGACTTACACCTACCTAGGTACCTCTAGGCAGGTACCTAGGTAGGTGTGTGTGTACATCCTGGGGCTGGTGACGCACCTGTAGGTACATTAGGAGGTATGTACATCTCAGGTATCTAAGAAGTACCTACGGTGCCTTGAGTAAAGGAATTGCTACCTAGATAGGTAGTGCCTCCTTCGCCCCTAGCACTACAAAGTAGGTGTGATGCGCCGGCGAGAGCTTCGTTCAGGTAGTTTCAGGCATGGCAAAGCCAGAACTACGGGGGACGGCGGGCTCCTGTCCGGGTTCAGTTCTTCTCCGTCCCAGTGCTACCTACCCAGGTGAAGTAACTTCTATGTCCACGGTCCTTTAGTAAAGGAGGAGTTAGTCAGCTGCTCGTATCAACCCAATTTCCCAGCTGCAATCCTCGCTGGCCCCCTTGTCGTGGGTAGCATCACGACGAAAACTCGGTCATTTTCCAGCGTCTGCTGCCACCCAGCCAGCCTCCTAGCCTCCCTCCTCTACTCCATGCTTACGTAGTGCATGCCTACCCGACATACCACCTACCTAGCGGCTAGCACACCTCCGGCCTTGCTATCAGTAGTATCTACTCTCTCTGTCCTCCTCGTCGCCGAGACGGCCGCCTTGGCCAGCTACTGCGGTTCCAGGCTCGTCTCGTGTCCCGTGGAATCGTTTCTGACCAGTCGCTCCGGCTCGACGACACCAGTGGGAAACGTCCCGTCCTCGACGCTGGGCGCGCGCTACCGCCTCTCCTTTAGCTGGCACGATAACGATATCTCGGGAGGGCCCAAAGCTGCGACCGAGCGGTCTCCCCGTCTTTTGGGGATAGCGTCTCGCTTATATTGACATATTCCCACTCGTCCGCCAGCCTCAGTCGACGCACAAGGCAATTTTTGGCGTCTCAGCTTCTCCATCTATACGACTGGTGGGTTGCTCCCCTTCTCGCCTCCGATCCAATCCATCACCAAGGATCCGTTGTACCACAGGCATAGTAGGTTAGCACCTGCAGCCCTACATCGATAGTCCGAATCCTAGCCAGGGAACCGAAAAGTCCTCGCCACCGTCGCTTCATCCGAACTCTAGAGGCCAGGCGAAAGCGAAAACAACAAACGAGTTCCTCGTGGGCTCGGACGTGTAGGGGATAAACCTCACCACCACTCTACGTGCCCTCGACGTATCGTGCCATTCAGGGAAGTAGGTATGTACGTGAGGGAGGTGTTCATGCCCTCGCAACTCTTCCCCCCCCCCCCGTCCGTCCGGGGCTTCATGCAGGTTGACCTCGCAATTTATGTACAGAACATACCTTGCCCGTTCCATTATTGGGATTATGTATCCCTATGGTTGCATGCCCGTAGGCGTCGAGGCCACGAGTCACCGTGGGCTAGACTGCAAAGCCCGGGCGATTGTCACATCTATGCAGCGAACCCTCCCCGTTCCTACTGCGACCCTCCCAACACCTCGCAGCCAGCGCATGCACGCACGCACGCACGAAAGCCCGTATTGCAACTTATCTTCGTCTTTCTAAGTGGGGGGGCTGCTTATTCGCCCAGGCTTACAACATCCATCGTTTCCGTCGCCGTAGTCAATCGAATCCTCCCCCTTTGGTCGTGTAATGAATTTATTTGGTGGCTTTGGTCTCGTCCCTTCGACCACCCCACGGTCCTCGTGGGTACCTGTATGTCTGCTATCTCCTGCGCGCACACTCCCGGACCGCATTCAGCTAATTTCGCCGCGCGCCACCAGAACGAGTCCGTCTTGCTGTTGAACGTCTAAATTCCACTTAAAGGAACCATGGTGTCGTGGAGGAACAGACGGTCGTGAAGCTTGATGTGCCCCTTGGACCTCTTAGGTTCGTTGCTTCTCTCACGCGCCGAGTCTCTTGTCACCTGCCGCCCATAGGACGACGAGGTGTTATCTCCTTCCCCTCTGGCATAGGGAGTCGCCGAAGGCGGGAGTGTTTGTCTTCTCCTTCCTGATTCGCGCGACCTGTCAGGATGGGTTTCCTAAAGTCATATTTCACTCCCGGCCGGACGAAGGGAGATGGAGAGCTGCCCGGTAGAGAAGAGAAAGGGACAGAACGCGCCGTCGAGGCGGGACCGAATAGCCTAAGACTCGGAGCTCGTTTACCACCTCCCGTTGCCGGTCCGGCCCCGGGACTATCGACGCCAGGCATATCGATACCGATGAGTCCGTATCTATCGCATCTGGATGGGTTACGGTCAGACGGGTCGCACACAAGTTCCTCGCGGTTAGACGTTTCACGGCCAGGATCGATTTATCCCAACTCGGTATACCCCTCGGGCGATTTTCGAAATGCCCGAGAAAGCATCCTAGATGTGAGGGCGGACGTCGTGTGCAGCTGGTTATACCAGATGCAGCTGGAGAGACAGTATTCGACGGGTATGATTCCCGGCGAAGGGGTGGTATTGAAGAAAGGGAGGAACAACTATACGTGTTATCCGCCACAGCTTCGCGACATATCCGGCGGTCTCCTTGACATGTCGATGGAACTGAACGTTCGCGTACGTATCATCAACCCCCCATTCTCCTTTAGGCTGGGTCGAATGAGACATTGAACATTCTACAGTGCTCTATGACGGTGAATACGAGAGTAATCAACGTCATTCTCGCCTCGAAACGATCAGATCGTAACTATATCCCGCTTTCCGACGGCCTGCGTTTGCAGGTACTGTCCAGCCTTAGCGAGCTACCTCAGTGCCAGAAACATCACTTTGCCGCGTTTATACAGGATCTCCAGATCCTGGTTGTCTGGGACGACGACCCGAAGAAGCTTCTAGCGAGGGTTGACGCTTTGGAGAGACAACTCATGCAAATGATATGGGGCAACGGAGACGACGACGATGAAGACGACGAGGAAGAGAAAGGCGAGAAAGGCAAGAAAGCTACTGGCGTCGAAGTGGACGTGGCGGCCGTCGATTTAGAGGCGGCGGACGAGACGGAAAAACGGACGATAAAAGTCAGCAGCTCGATCATGGTAGCACTAACGCTGGCCCTTTGCATATCCTGCATGGGACTGGGCCTACGATCCTTGGCGTTCGAAGTCGAAACGGACAATTCATATACTCGACTAGCACTCGCCGCCGTCATCCCGTTCCAAATGTGGGTTGCCATGTTCTTTTTTCAAACGATCATAGTCAACCTCTTCCAAACGTTTGGCCCCATATCTGCTGTCGACAACAATTCGAGGTTCTACTCCGGGAAGCCCCCCAAGCGCTTAAACCGGGAGGCTCAGCGACTTCCTCATGTTACAATCCAGATGCCTGTGTACAAGGAAGGCCTGAGGGCTGTTATAGTGCCGACAGTCCGATCTCTGAAGCAGTGCATCTCGACGTACGAGTTGCAAGGTGGCTCTGCCAACATCTTCGTAAACGACGACGGTCTGCAGCTGATCTCGGAGGAGGAGGCTCAAGCCCGGCGGGACTTTTACGACGAGAACAACATCGGTTGGGTCTCGAGGCCGATGCACAACCCGAAGCCAAAGGATGGAAGCCAGCCTTTTCTCCGACGCGGCAAGTTCAAGAAGGCATCGAACATGAACTACGCCCTGATGGTAAGCAACCGCGTTGAAGACAAGCTGGTTCAGACCCCCAGGACTCCGGAGTGGACTCAAGCAGACGAGCACGCCGCCTACGAACAATGCCTCGCCGAAGTCCTGCAGGAGGACCAGGGGCGTACCTGGGCTGGGGGAAATATTCGCATCGGAGATTATATACTTATCATCGACTCCGATACCCGCGTGCCGGACGACTGTCTCCTGGATGCTGTCAGCGAGATGGAACAATCGCCTCAGGTGGCCATTTTGCAATATACTTCGGGCGTCATGCGAGTGTCCAAGTCATTCTTCGAGGCAGGGTAAGCGGACGATTCGCTGCGAGAACTGGGAGTAGACCCGCGTGCTGACCGACCTATCTAGCGTTACGTGGTTCACCAACCTCATATATTCGGCCATTACTTTCGTCGTAGCGCACGGCGACTCTTGCCCTTTCGTCGGCCACAACGCCATCCTGCGATGGTCCGCCATCCAGGATGCTGTATCGTACGAAGACGAGGACGGCTACGAGAAATTCTGGTCCGAGTCACACGTGTCAGAGGATTTTGACATGTCACTCCGACTTCAGTGTGCCGGCTACGACCTCAGATTCGCGTCGTATACTGGGGAAGGGTTCCAGGAGGGCGTCTCCCTGACGGTCTACGACGAGCTTGCGCGGTGGGAGAAGTACGCGTACGGTTGCAACGAGTTGATGTTTCATCCTCTGAAATACTGGCTCACCCGCGGTCCCATCACTCCGTTGTTCAGAAGGTTTCTGTGCTCGAATATCCACCTACCTAAGAAGCTCACCATCTGTACTTACATCGGTACTTATTACGCCATCGGCGCGTGCTGGGTCCTCACACTCCTAAATTATTTCCTCTCGGGTTGGTTTTTTGGGCTCTACGACAAATTCTACATCGATTCGTTTGCCATCTATGTTTCGGTGATTGTCGTCTTCACAGGCTTCGGCAACTTTGCCCTTGCCATCCTGCGATATCGGCTAAACCAGCAATCACTGCTCTCGGCCTGTAAGTTGTCCCATCTCACATGCCATCCATACTGCCCCTTCTCTTCTCCCTCTTCCCGGGCACCCTGAGATCCGAGGGGGCCCTGATCTCACATGAGCGGGAGTGTGAAGCTAACTATGATTACCTGCTACTAGTCTGGAGTAATATGAAGTGGATCCCATTGATGTCCATATTCCTAGGTGGCCTCTCCTTACACGTGTCGCAGGCTCTCCTGAGCCATTTCTTCGGTATCGATATGACGTGGGGGGCGACAGCCAAGGAGGTAGAGGAGGTAAACTTCGTCGAGGAGATCCCACGCCTACTCCGTCGGTTCAAGGGCACATTTCTCTGGTGTGCCATCATGACGGCCCTCATCATCTGCGGTTGCTACGTCTTTCCTATCCAGTGGAGGATCGTGCACCTGGCGTCTATCTGGCCGCTCGCGTGGATAGTCGGCTGCCACTTCTTGTTGCCGGTTGCACTGAATCCGGCGCTCATGGTGTTCGCGTGGTAATTTGGGTGGGGTGTTGCCAGCCTATCGGCCCCTGATTTGTATGAGCGTTGAGGTACCAGCCTATAGGCATATGTATTTGCTTGTTTGAGCCGCGGCGCCGGGGTGGAGGAAGATGGGAGGGCTTTAATGGATTATGAAATGGTGGGTACCCTTTTATTGTGCCGGGGCGGGACGAAGGCACGCAGCCGGATTAGAGAAGTAAATAGGATCGACGGATTCGAACACAGTGGTCCTCGGGGCCTCTAGGTTTTTTTTTTTTTTCCTTGTTGCGCGCAACGGGTAGGGGACGCGCGTGTCCGTCGAATACCCACGGCTATCCAACAATAATACAAACATAGATATCTCACGTAACGAGCTTGGGCTGCTGGTGACGACGCTATCGGAATCGACGTTACTGTTTGAATACGAGGCTAGGCTACGTAGGAGGATATCGTGTGTATAATCCAGCATGTAAAACTACGTACAGGCCACGTCCTACCGGGTAAGTAGAGATGGGTTTTACGTGTTGGGGGAGACCGCGTAGGCTGCGGGATCCTCGACTCGCCGATAATGAAGTGAAGAGCTGCCGATAAGAAAGCTGAGGAAGCTCGGGGGGGGAAGGGAATGTAGCGGTCTGGTGATGGGTTAAAGCCGACGACGTGTACGAGCCGCTAACATGCCTACCTGTCTCATCTAGTACGTAGAAGTAGATAGGTACGTGTTATCAGGTGCGACAGGCGTGGGTATGGATACGATATATAATAATAGCAACAACGACGTCTAGGTACCTAAGAGAGTAAATAAATGTACATATAGGCTCAGTACGTGCCCGCTTGGGCAAGGCACCTAATGTTAGGTACCTACCTAACTCATCTCAGCGAAGCTTTAACCTTGTATGGCGACAGCCGTTGGCAGCGGGGAAGTACAATTCCGTTAGGTAACGGGCGGATCACGACTTCACGCCAGTGCCTCACCTAAGGCAGGTAGCGCAGCGGTAGCGCCGCAGCTGGCGATGCCGTCGCGAAGCCGGCGGCGAATGAGCGGCCGCGGTGCCAACCCCGCCTGGCCGCTAATAAGGGACGAAGCCGGCGAAGAAGATGTTACCGCTACCGCCTTCTTTTGTGGCCCGCGCCCGCGCCCGCGCGTTACCTCCTACCTCTACTACGTACCTCAGGAGGGGTACCTGACCTCCTGGCCTTAAGTACCTAATTTACCTAGGTACGTACGTAGCCTGCGGGTTGGCGTTCGAGCTCGAGCTAGAGGGAGGCACGGGGCTAGAGGCATGGGGTTAGAGGCACGGGGTACTTCCCTTACGTGATAGCTACCTCCTACCCAGGCTAGGTACCTGCCCTAAGATGAGATAGCTCCAGGGACCTTGCGCGGCACGTACCTGAGTAGTATTTCCTTGGCTAAGAAGAGTGGGCCGCCCGGCCACGACGGAGTCGGTGAGCAATTACGTACATACACAGGAGTACAGTGCCTACCTAAGGTACCTAGGAGGTAGGTACCTATGTACTGTACGGATACGAAACAAGTTCGGCGACGCGGCAGCGATCGGTAGCAGGTACCTGCCCACCGGCCAGTGGCTGGCCAGGTACGACGAGGGAAGCGGCCCTGCGGCGGTGGATGGTACCTGTCCATCCTCCACTCTCAACGGCTTCTTCCTTCCACCAATCCCTCCACATATTCACCTCTCTGCCCTCCGGAGCATCGTCCAAAACATCCATCGCCTGAACGGTTGGTGCTCGGGAGTTGGTTCGTTTACCTTCCCTATCTTTATATGTCTCGGGAGCCTCCCGTTTTTATATATATTGCCCTCCCAAGAGTCTCGGGTTCTTCACCTCCTGATCCGATGCATAAGCCCGTCTCACCGTCGTATTCTTCCTTTTAGCCCTCCCCCGCTCCCCCCCCCCCTTCCGTCTCCTCGCTTATCGCTCCTGTTCCTGTCCTCTTTTCTCGCCTATCTGTCCCTCCGAGCAGTCTCGAGCCTGGCTTTCTCCCGCCCATCCGTAGACTATGGCCCTCTTCGTAGATCTCGAGGAAGAGGCCGAGCCTCCCCAGACGCAGCACTATGGTCTGAAGCCCGAGTGGAACGGCGCGCGAGCGACGCCGTCGTCGTCGGGAGCCGATGGCGCGGCTCCGGCTGCCGCAGCCGTCGCCGTTGTCGGTGGACGTGCCGGGCAGAGCCAGTCAACCGCAGACCGGGAATCCGAGAACCCTAATGAGCATAATGGGATGGCAGAGGCTCTCGGATGTTATCCGTAGGCAGACGCAACCTCACTTATGACGTTTCTACTTGCAGAATCCTCCCCTCGGCTACCCTACGTCATGTCGGCGCCGGGGGGAGAGAAGGCTGACTCGACATTCCACCCGCAGTATCGTCATGGCGATTGCGTCGTCCATCGACCTCAACACCCTCGATAACCTGTCCCGTACCTGCCGCCAGGTGCACCAGGCCCTCCTGCAGTACCGTAGCACCATCCTTTCCCACTCGCTCCACTGCGTCAATGAGGACGTGCCCATCCACCCCGGAGACACCTTGCGCTATCGGGCCCGAGCTGGTAACTGGTACTATATGGAAGACGGCCGCGCCGGGGACTACAGCGGTAAGAGTGGAAGTTGTGCGAGGGATATGGTGGCCGAGTGTAGACGATGCGGCACCGTCGTCTGTCGGGTAAGTGGATTTGCGTCACCACAGCAGCGCTTGGCGCCCCGCACGTTAAGATGGATGGCCTTCTGACCGTGTGTGCGTGCGCCAGAACTGCGCGATCAAACCGCCGGCTCCGGCCGCGCTCCATGACAGACATCGCCGACTATGCTTTCCGTGCAGCAAGGCTCCGCTCGGGACCCTCGTGAAACCGGCATTGCGGCCAGAAACCCCTCTACATGCAGAGGAAATGCAGCGGGCGATCTGCACCTGCGTTACGCAGGGGGTCTGGCTCTGCCAGCCCTGCGGGAGGAGCATTCGGGGCGCTGATCAAGACTACAAGTCGTACGTGTCTCTCTCTCTCTATTTCTCTCTCTCGTTGCCCCGTCTCGACCTCTACTTCTTATCGTCTAGCTCTGTCAGAAGTTATCCGTCCTAACGCGAAAAAAAAAATTAGCGTCTGGAAATGGCGCAACCAATACCGCGATGTGCTAGGGGGGCTCGGGACCGGTATCGGCGAAGGCGACCGGGGCGTGATTTGCGGGCGGGAGGCGTCGTGCTGCGGCGCCAAGGAGCGGGAGCAGGAAACTGACTGCGACGCCGCCGACGCTCGCGAACAAGACGAGCAGAATAACGGCAGCGGCAGCAGTAACGGTGGGAGCGCTAACCTGACCCCGTGGGCGACACCATCCCCCTCGGGGTCGGTCCCGGGTTCACCGCCGGAGCGGCGGACGCCCAGCCCGCAGCTACGACCCGGGTATGCACGCCACGAGATCGAGGGCATCGGTGGGGTAGTCAAGACTAAGCTCGTGCGGATCGTGCGTGTCGGCGCATGCGTGCCCGAATGGGATGACGAGAGGAACAAGGGGGAGATACTGAGCCGGGAGGTGCGGGGCCACAGCCGGAGCTGGTGTGGCTGGTGCTGGAGGGTGATCCCGGGCAGGAAAGACTTGGAGGCGGCGGCTACGTCTAATGCTGCCGCCGGCGTTGGTGCGGGTAGGGAATAGACAAAAATGTGACGAACGGACGTGTCTCTTACGGGGGTTTCCTTTCCTTCTGTCCCCGGGGGCACGGACGAGAATCATGGCGACGGTGGACGACGGAATGAGCATCGTCATTATCGCAACAAGTATTGTACACTGCACGAGTTATAGACTTACGAAGACGAGAATGCATACTCGAACGAGTGTCATCCCAATAGAGTAGCAAGATCCGAGAGGAGAAACCATGGACAGGAGAGTTTTCGCGGCCCTGCTGACTTGGGTGGTGAGACAACAACCTAAAGTGGCCATCCCAGGTCAAGTTTGATCCCGTTAGCAGGTGTTGGTAGCAGATAGCAGGTTGAGTAGTAAAGGAGGCTAGGCAGAGGACAGAGGGTATTAGGTTAAGGGGGACGGTAAGTTCGAGGAAGGTTAAGGTTAAGGAGAGGGGGATGGAGTTCGGCAGACGATGCAGTGTATCGATTCTGTGCAGGTTAACGTAATAGACATGTTCCCGCCGTATACACTGGCAAGCTCGCTGCCCGCTCTCGCTCGAGACGCATACACAGTCTGTCTAGCTTCTCATAATTCGCGTACATGGAAATGTGTGTAACGGATACCTGTTATCATACAGCGCGCGCGCTCGCGGCCCTGAGCCCGAAGTCACAGCCCACTACGCTATTCTCTCCCCCCTTCTCCTCTTTTCCTTAACCCGTCGTATGCTGCGCGTGCTCTCGTTAATATCTTCGTCTTCCCCTTCTTCAACCTTCTCTTTCCCTCTTTCTCACCCGCCGGGATTTTCTGCTCAGGCCCTGCCCACGCGGGTCTCCACCGGCACGGCGCACGAGGGCTCGCGTGCCAAACATTCGAGGGAAAGCACGAAATAATCTGCGAGAGGAGAAGAAGACGGGTGCCGGGGGTGCTGCCACCCCGCATGTAGCCCGCGGTACGGAGGACAGGCGTCAAGGCGAGGGTTCCCGCAAGCGAAGCACGCACGCGCCCACCCCCCATCCGTTCTCGGTCCCCCCCTCCCTGCGTCTAAATCTCGCCGCGCAGCAGCATCTCCTTGCGCTTGCGGCGGTCCTCGCGAGCCTGGCTGCGGATGGGGCCCCAGCGGGCCTTGATGGCCTCGAGGCGGGCGCGCTCGTGCTCGCGGTGGGCGGCGGGGGCGCGGCAGCACATCATGACGAAGTAGGGGGCGCACGAGTAGCGCTCGGCGAGCCGGAGCACCGTCCACAGGGCCGGGTCCTTGGCGCGCAGGTAGCGCATCTCCTCCACCTCCTCGCGCGTGACGTTGTACTTCCTGGGGTAGGACTTGAGCGCGGGCGGCGGGGGTGCGTCGGCGGCGGCGGCGGCGTTGGCGGCGGCGTCAGCGGCGGGGGTGCCATCACCGTTGCCTTCGGCTACCGCGGAGGCGGAGGCGGAGGCGGGGTCACCGGCGGACGATCGGAAGAGCTGCATGATGTTGGCGCGCCGCCGCGGGTCCATCGGCGGCAGGAACTTGAACGGCGTGTGGTACACCGACACGGTCGACGACGGCGGGTTGTAGATGATCTGGGGGACGTCGGACGATTCGAGGAGGAAGGACGAGTGCGGCGCGACCTTGAGGGCGCGCTTCGTCCGCGCGGTGGTCGACTGGTGCCGCCGGGACGCCGCCGCCGCCGAGGGCGCGAGCGGGTGGCCGATCCTCGCGGTGCGCCGCAGCAGAGGCTGCAGGAAGGACCGCGAACATTCCATCTCGGTTGGGGTGTGGATGCGGATGCGGATGCGGATGTAGATGTGTGTGTGTGTGTGTGTGTGTGTGTGTGTGTGTGTGTTGCGCTCCCCTCAAATGCGTAGCTGTTGCTTGGCACGAGGGGACGGATTGGAAAGGAAAAAATATAAAAAATCCGAGGGAGAAACTAGAGGTGAATAGATGGGCGATCGATCCGAGTCCCGCAAATCTGGCAACGTCTCCCTCCGTCTCTTCGATCTCGAACCTGGATCGAGCAGTCTGGATGAGCAAACCGCTGCGGTTGAATCCTCTTGCTGCTCTGGAGTTCAGTCCCAATCCGTCCTTCTGGCTTGGGTCTCAGGGCAAAATTTGGTCGGAGGGTCTCGCGGTCCGAGGGACAGGGAGGAGAGGTAGGTAGGTATTAGGTAAGGTACCTTGATACGACCCGACTCGGATTATCTTGTTTCTCGGAGGGGTAGTCGGATCGGGGTATGCAGTCACGTGATGCATACAGCCCAGCTAGGTATGATTACATCAGGCAGTTTAGGTACTTCCTAGAGCAAAGGGTTTCGACTTGCTGACAAGTGATGGTGACGGTGGTCTGACATAAGCACAGGATTCAGCTCCTTACATAAGCTCGGCCGCCGGTCTGGTCTGGGAAAACAATCGGGTTGTCTTGGGTTTCACTTCTTCCCCCACTCCCTCTTCCATTAAACCAACCACTTCGGTCCCATCGCGACGACGACCCCTCCCCAGTGTGACGTACCTCTCGTACCGCTCTCGGGGTTCGAGCTGATCGAAGCTTCATGGGTTTCATGTGCCAGGCCAGCTTTTCACCCCATCGATTCAGCCTGGTCGACCGCGTTCATCCTCTACCCCCTAGCCCCCCTCCCTTTGGTCTTTTCCCTCCCCCACCCCCCGTGGATGGGATAGGCCTAGGGCGGTCTTCTCGGGCTCCTCGTTTCCATATTCCATCCCAAACCCCGGTTTGTTTGACATCACGAGACGGTGTCGGCATTTCTCGAAATTACAGGCATACGTACGCACCTCCTGCTGCTCCGATTTGCGTCCGTCTGGAGGAGGGGTCTCACTGGTTCTGCTGATCCCGGCCTGCCCAGATGTCTCGCCTTGCCTATCCGCGCACACGTAGGCATATACAATATAGCTAGAGTAGCATATACATGCGCACAATCTACAATCACGCACGCACATATACGCATCCTCGCCTCCCCACGCGTATGGATAGCGTATATAACATACCGGGTGTGTGAGAGTGGTAGGTATGCGTGTGCGCGCGTTCAGGAGACATGTCGGTATGTAGGTATCACGTATGACTGCATGGCGCTGCTGCAAATCATGCCCTCCGAAGAGGCCCCCCCGTGAGATGCATCCCGCTACTGTCTAGGGGAGATTTAGGGACGCGATCGGTCCCTATGGCTAGCTGCTATCAGACCGCTGGGACTTTCGGTCGGGCTGGATCGAACGGCATGAGATGGCCACTGTCTGGGAGCATCTCCTGCGTCTCCAACCGGGCAGCCCTTATGCCTATTTTCAGCCCGTGGGATTGCATTGAATTCATGCGACGCGCCGCCGGATCGCGAACCGCCCAATGGGTGGCTGCGTCGGGTCGCTCTCAGACTGGATTCGTCGCAAGCTGGTTCGCCACCAGCTGCGCCCGAGCAAGAACAGCGGCGAGGAGGGAGGAGGGAGAAGGGAGAAAGGGAGTCGACGCTTCTAGGGTGGTTGAGATGTGCTAACTAACGAACCCCCCCCCTTCGACCTTGACTTGGACAATGATCGAGTCTGAGCATCCCTCCCTTCCTGTCGCTCGCTGTAGATCTCACGAGCACAAATAATGCCCACCGTGAGAGGGTAGGTATCGTCAATAACCCCCCCCCCCCCCTCTCTCATACCCAATACCTCCCTCTGTGTCTCCCTCTATCTCTCGTTCCCTATGCAACCGGCGGTGTTGTGTGTGACACAGGATATATATGACTTATACAACTCATCCTATTGTAACTGATATGTCTCTCCCTCTCTCCCCCTCTTGCTTCTTGGGGAGGGGTGCCTCTCGTGTTCCTCACGTTGACGACTGCCCATTCGGTCTTTAGCAACGCAGAGATTGGCTCGAAAGGGCGTAGATTGGGATCCGTGTCTCACCCGGCCCTTGGTAGAGACTTGGCCAGGCAACCTGCGTAAGCTTTTTGGGGGGGAATATCCGGGCCAATAGTGGGAATATAGAGGAAGAGAGGGCGAAGGGGGGAGGGAGACGAGAGAAGAAAAAGCGAAGCATAAGCCAGCTTGTTACGACTTGCTTTCGATGGGATCAGGCCAGAGCAGGGCCAGAGCTGAACCAGACCAGGCGGTTCCTTGATTTGGGGAAATCTAGGTACCTCACCGGTGGTGGGCATACTCGTAGCTTGCCGTGACGAGACACAAATACAGAGTCCGTAAATCTCGGCGAATTATTATTATCATCACCTTCATTAGGTATTTCCCTCTCATCTCGCCTCCCCCAAGCGCCCACTTCTGTTGTCTCTTGTTTATCAATATCCCGACGTATCTGCATACATAGTAAGGCCATCACGCTCTCAACCCTCAGCTCTGTTTTTTTTTGTGCGTCTTCCTTGTCCTTCCCTGTTTTCCGCACCTGATCCCTCTTCCCGCCCCTGTCGCCCTCCTCTCGCCTCTTCTTACTCGCCTCTGGTTGTTTATTATTACCGTCCTCGGCCTCAATTATTGCCCGGCCGTCCGCGTGTCCTCGTCCTACTAATCGACCTACTTTGTTCCCCTGACTTCCTCGAGCAGCTCCCTGTCCGTCTGCATTTCAGCATACGAAGATACCTCCCCGATACTGATACCATACCGGCACCATCCCTGGTGATAATTTGCGTAGGTGCCGTGCATCACAACTAAATATGGCCCTCCGTACATGCAGTTGACATCCGATCAACAACGTCTTGTCTTCTTTTCCCTTCTTTTTCTTTTTCTACACGCTCTCCCCCCTGCCTCTGCATGCATGCATATCTATGTTACCTACTCATACATTGCCTACGTTACCTACATTATACATGCGTACGCATACGCATACGCATATACAGATACGTACACCTTCACCCCTCCTCCTCCTCCTCCTCCGCTCTGAGAGGCCACGGATTCCTTTTTCAAATCCCTATTTTTGACCTCGAATCCCGCTCCCCCCCCCCTCGTCCGTCCCTTCAGACCCGTCCCTCGTCCTTCACATATCACCCATCACCCGCTCGCGTCTTCTCGTGCTCTTCGAGAAGAGCAACCTGCCAAGCCGAACCTGATCAGCTCGACCAACTTGCATCATCGGGTGCGTCGGCGTCGCTAATCTGTACCTCGCACCGCGCGCACAACCCTGCCGATCGTCGCTCGCTATTCAATCTATCTATTGCTCGTCCTCCCAGCTCGGTCTCCTGACTCGGCTGCGAATCCGTTTTAGGACAAGACGAACTGCACACTTACGCCTCCTTGCATCGCGCAGTACCGGATTCATCCCACTCCCTGAGGTAATCTACTATACTTTGCGTGCATCTCCCGTCTTCTCTCCTCCCCTTCCCAGCATACATACCTAGATCCCCATCTCTACCCGTGCACATCTGGACATCCACGCACTTACCACGCATGCGTACCTATCTTCTGTATCTCGTCTATCTGCGATACGTCTCCGCCCGCCGCCGGCGCCCACAAGCAAACAAGCCGCAGCTCGCAGCCCTCAACCCTCGAGGCCGGGGCTGGTATCGTCAGCAGGGGACACCAGCAGGGGACACCAGCAGGGGACGTCGCTAGGCAGGAGGGAAAACAGGCGGGCGCAGGGCAGAGCAGCAGTATCGTCGATAAAATCCTAGACCCACCCTTACTCTTCGCCCACTATCGTCACATAGCTGGCGAGATCATATTCAACCCTGCTTCAGCCGTGCTGGGCCAATCCGAGCCCGGTTCTCCCACCCCTCCGCCCATTCGAGCGTGGGTCGACGGAGTAGGTTGATTGCTAGTTGGATCTTCGTTGACCCCGAAACTCCCACCCCCCAAAAATACCTCGATAATGCATTGTTCTACACACGCAGACCTGGGGTTGGCCCCGAGTCATTAGCGGGTCATAAGGCGTATTTGAATTCCCCCTTCTCGGTTGCGCCAAGCTTATTCTGCCTTCCTCTACTTCCCCTCCCCTCTCCCTCTCTCTCCCACTCCCTCTCCGACCTGACAAGAACCGGCCATTCCTGCATACCACAAACGGCACCGGCGTTTCTGCCTGGCGTTTTCACCTCCTGCTGCCGTGTTCCTCGTCACTCTCTTTCTCTTTTATTTTTATGGTCTCGTGTTCGTACTGAGAGTTAACCTGGCGCTTTCTAGAAATCAAGAAAACACTGACCACTTAATTGGTTGTTCGTTAATCACCCCATCCCGAAAGCCCGTCCGAAAACCCGCCCGAACTCGCCACCATGACTCTGGCACCAGCTGCTCCTATAAAGATAGGTCGTGATTTCAACCCAAGTCCCTCTGAATTGGCGGAGAAGGCCCAAATTACCACCACGGGCGACTCGACCATCAGAGAATCTAACGAGAAGGAGATGGATGCCGACGCATCCAAGACCGATCCCAAGGCGAAGAAACGTGGTCTGTTCGGCTTCGGGAAGAAGAAGGCGGACCAGAAACCCGCCCCCAAACCCCAGCCCAAGTCCGGGCCGGGACTGCCGGCTCCGTCGCCGTCCACCAAGGATCTGCCACACCCGTCGCTGACGCGCGCGACTACCGCGTCGCCGACGCAAGCCGGTAGCCCTAGAATCACGCCGTCTTCGCCGAGCCGCGGCCTGTACTCGTCGTCGCCGCGATTAAGCTCCCCGGCGGGATCGCAGATCTTCGAGCGAGACGTCCAAGAGAGCACCACCATTATACCCAACTCACCCGCCATCCCCTCCCACATCCAAACCGAGAACTACATCCCTCCCGTCCTCGACGCGTCCTCCGAAGCCATCACAGACGACCGTCTGAACCCCGACTCCGTCGAGATTATCACGCATAATTCTCACCAGCCCGCCAGCGTCACGGTGGGCGGCGCGCCGCCGTATGACAGCATTCCCGGTTCGTGGAGCGAGGATCTGGCCGCCTCCTCGGACAGGGAGGAATCGGCCTCGAATTACGGCTCGCTCGACTCGACCGACGTCCGGCGGCTGAGCTTCATATCATTCGCCGACGTCGTCCAGGCCGAACAGATCCCTCCCAACAGCAGTCGCGACTCGATGCATGTCGCCGGTCTCACTTCGTTAAGCTCGATGGGAGTCAACCGCTCGCCGTCGCCGATAAGATCGCCGGTATCGTCACAAGGACCAGAGACATCGCCGCCGAACAGCATCTCCGGATCCATCAAGGGGTTGAGCATGTCTCCCAGCAGGAAACCGCTGGCGAGCCCGACGAGCGCGGCGGACCACAACCTGTCGGTGAACGGGGAATTCAACATAGAGACCATGTCGCAGGCGCTAAGGCGGACGGCCAGCACCGACCTCAGCCTGTCTCGGAGCCTCCCCATAAGCCCCATCGAGGGATCCCTGCGATAACTCGGCACCCCAGAGGGCGCTGTCAAGCCTCGCCTTGAGCGAAGTTCAATAGCTACATGACGGAATCGCAGTAGTGCGGACTCCCCGGGCTGGCTTGCTCAAAATTTCGGCGCGCTGAGTGAATCACTTTTTTTTTTCGAAGGGTGAAGGAAGATGACCTTTAATCCTTTAGACATTTGAGGTTCACGGATACCTACTGTTCAGCACTGTAGGGGGTAGGGGATGATATGCAACAGAGTCAGGCAAGGGGGAAGGGGGAAGGGGTACGCGAGGGATTCCCAGGCAAATCAGCGGAGTTGGCAAACATCGAGGGCCGGGGGCAATAACAGGGATTTCTCGTTTCCCTCTCCGATTCCTATTCCATTTTTTTCTTCATGCCTACCTCCCTTCTTATTGCTCCGCTCCGTTCGAACGAACGGCACGTGGGAGATAGAGGGAGACGGCGCACGTATGGAGGTAAGACGGGAGATGCGACGGGACGAGACGGGACAGGGCCAGAGGGGAGGGGAGATACCATTCTTGAAGATAGGAACGACGTTGCGCAATGGGAGGGACTTCCATCTTTTTTTCAACTCCTGGTCTGGGGCAAAGCTACCCGGAAATACTCATCAGGATTATTGTTGTTGCTTCTCTTCTTCTCGTTCAACCCTAGGGAACGGCGCCGGACGATAGGCAAGGGCGGTGGAAGCGTGGGACTGGAAGGAATTTGATGCTGAAGCTAGGGAGGGGGTATGTGGGAAACTCCGAAGAAAGGAGAGAGGAGGAGGAGTGAGACAAGAGGGCGGGAGAAGGAGGTAGGATAGACTAGAGGATAGATAGGTCTAATCCGCTTCTGATACCTTCTCTCCACGTCTCCTACCCAATCTACCTAGTGCTCTCCCTCTTCTCTCTTTCCGCCTCTGCTGCTCCTGGAGGTGGGCCGTAGTTCCGTCTGGAGCGTGATAGACGGCAGCGATAGCAACCCAGAGACGCAGAGGGAGGAACGGAGGGCGTTATAGAACCCGAAGAGGAAAGAGAAAGAGGGAGAGCATCTGACGATGATCTGACGATCGCAGAAAACTTCGCGCGCGTGTGAAATATGGTGCATGTGCGTGAGTGTAGCGGACGCGGCTCTCTTGTCGAAGGAACTCGACACATAGATTACCTATGTGTACGTGAAAAAAAAAAAGCCGGTCCGGCCCCCCCCGGTCTTCCACGGCCCCCTCGTCACCCTGCGTCCGCAGCAGGGCGCTGTGCTTCCTCTCTCCACGGCATGTCTGCGGGCGCACAGGAAAACAGACTTTGTCTACGTATCCGGGCCTTCCGGGGGTTTTCAGCGTGCCTCTTCACGTACACAATCCTACCGCCCAACCACTTTCCCTGCCCGAGCAAGCCTCTCCCTGCTTCCGTCCCATCCGCCGCCTCCCAGCGCTTGCTCCCTTGGGCCCTGGCACACACGTGTGAGTTCTTTCGCCGCAGCGTCTGCCTGTAGCTGAGGTAGCCAGCTCTAGCCGGCGCCCCCGAGTTGCTTGCCGGGACAGGCAGGTGTAGTAGGGTATGATACCAGGTATGGGGGGGGGGGGTTAGGTAGGTAGGCAAGCCGGCGGACCGGACGGTCTGGCTGTCGATCGCATGTCTGGCGCGCGCGCTGTCCGGAGAGGCGTAGACTGGGTCGCTGAGCATGCCGCCGCACGTGCGCGTAGGCTGGCTGCTGCGAGGGAAGCTGTGCTAGGCAGGCATACCTAACTTCGGGCGGCTCGCCGGGGCGCTGGTGCCGCGCAGGGTATTAGGTCCCTCTTCCTCTCCCTCCCCCTCTGCTCGTCACGTCCGCGTGCACGTCCTCGGCGTCCTCGTTTTCTTCCTTCGGCCTGTCGCGGGAGGGACTAGTCCCCTTAGAAGAAGGCTGAAAGGCGCCGAAGAAGAGAAGGGCGGATCGAGGCCTAACACATGTATTAGCTCATAGCTCTTACCTACCTAGAGCTATCTCAGGGCTCGGACTCCGAGCTCCCACATCAAGCTTGTTTCTCCGTTCACGGTTCTTCCGTATGGTGGTCGCGACAACGCGATGCACGCAATGCGACCTCCCTTACCCCCTCTCCGCCCGCGCTCTCGTCTTACTCGTGCCAGCTACCCGACTAAGGCAGTTGACTAGCCTGCCCACCGAGGTAGGCAGGTAGCCAGCCCGCCCGACTCAGCTGGCAGCTAGCTGGCTACCTCTAGGTGCCTGTCGGCCTAGGTGGCTGGCGTAGGTACGTAGCCAGCCACCCAAAAGGTAACTTACAGAGTGGTGAGATGGCTGCTCGTCCGCCTGACGCAACTAGAGGTACCTAGCTAGGTAGGTAGGTAGCCAGCCGACTGGCTGGCGAACGAACGAATTACCTAACTAGCGAGCGAGCTAGCTCCGGGGGGGGGGGGGCGCACGCTTCGTCCCGGGCAGCTGAGCGTGCCCCCGCCTCCCCTCCCCTTTGGGGCTAGGCCGCGCCAGCCTCGGCGATCCATGGATAGCGAGTATGCGTAGACGTGCCGGCGCAGGCAGGCAGGCTAGGCAGGCACGTGCGCAATGCAGGGACGGCAGCGTTCGGGTTGTCTGCTCTGCCGGGCCGGGTCCGCGCTGCGAGGCGTGCCGGGGGGGCGGCGCGGCGCGGCGCTGCCGCTGCTCGCTCGGTCTCGCGCGCGGTGGGTTAGGTCTGGTGGTGGTGCAGGTAGAGCATATGACGTAGGTATGCGTGCGTCTGTGTGTGCAGGACGCGCGCGGGCACGCGGCCGGCGAGCGGACGGGCCCCCGGCGCCGTCGCGGATCCCCTACGTCGGACGGCGGGAGCGCGGTCCCGGGCTGGGCTGCTGCGGAGAGCGGCGCATGCGTGTATGTGTGTTAGGCACGTACTCGTACATATGCAGTTCCCGCGAGGGGCGCTGAGCGGCGAGGCCGGGAGGAGGGGAGGGGAGGCGGAAGCGAGAGTACCTACCCATCGTAGGGAAAGGGAGCGCGCGAGGGATTCGGGTACTGGCACATATGCCTTTATTCGTTGCGGGCGGTGGACGCTGTGGGTTAGGTAGTTAGGCGCTTATGTGTACCTCTACCTACATAATACCGCGTACCCATATATCTAGGTATGTAGGTACCTAGGTAGATAGGTAGGCCTGCATACATTTAATTAGGGGGACCCGCCGATCTCACTTGCGAAATACGCATATGCGCACTTGTATAGGCACGTATACAACGCATACACCCCGGGAGGTATGTGTGTATCGGCGCCGATCTTTTTCTTCTTCTTTCCCGCTCTCCTTTTCTCTCCCTTCTTCCCTCATCTTCCTTCCTTCCCTCTTTCTCGATTAATGCTAGGAAAGCAGGGGAGGGGGGAGAAAGGGGGAGGAAAAGGGGGGCGATGAGGGGATAGATCCACTGTGTGCCGCCAACCTGGTCCTGAATCTGCCAAATCCGGTAGCCTTCTAGACGGCTGTGCCCTGTATGAGTGTGTATGTAGGTGCGCATGCATGCCTTTCTCGGTGTCTGTGGCCGGTATAGCCTATCATCCGTCGTTAGCATCTGTCTATACTTGCACACACACACACACACATACACACACACACCCCTACCTCCCTATACGAACGGGCGTATGGGGATGATGATGGCTACGTGTGCGATGTGCTCCGGTATGGACGTATATAGTTAGCACGTGTTGGACCGGCTCCCAAGTTAGTATGTATGTATGCGAGCGCTTTGGCCTCGCCGCGCAGGTTGAGCGCGGCCGGCAACGAGACCAACAGCCATGAATGATTGCGAACCCCTTTTGCTTTTTCCTTTTCCTTTTCCTTTTCCTTCTCGCTCTCGCCTATATTGTTTAATGCAATGCATATGTGCGCGTATGTGTGGGTATGTGTGGGTAGCATTCTCGCGACTCGAGACTCGGCTGGCCCGTCTCTGTCTCGTTTCAGTTCCCTACACGTACATACCTACGTGGTTCTGCACGGCCCGTCCTAAACTGATGGGATCCGCAGCGCGAGTCGGGCAGGCAAGCAAAGTGTCATGTATGCAATGTGCGCATATACGTATAGGCCCTACGTGCGTACACGGAGGTCGTGTGCGATGCGCAGTGGACGAGAATAACCGGGACTGGACGGACGGTGGACCACATCCTCGGAGACAACATGCCTCCACGGGTACGCGTTGTCCCTGACGAGGTTTGTTCCGTGTCCACTGGCTTGGGAATGCTGCGTCTCTCTCTCCTCTCACATTCGATGTACTCATATAAGGAATGGGAATCACGTGTGTATGATTACGTGTGTGTGTGTGTGTGTGGGCGAGGAGAAGCATCCTTAATATCATAATTCCCGGGTTCTAGGTTATACTATATTTTGTACCGTAACTAAATTAGGCTTAGCGTAATCGCCGCTTTTGCTTAGGCTCGGCTTAGTCTATAATTAGTTAGGTAACTAAGGAGTTATATTTATATAATATTTATATAGAAGGAAACGGTCCTTAAAACGGTTAAGCTTTAACCGTTAACGAAATAGAGTAACGTACGAAGCCTTATTATATCCGTATCATTTGGTTTGATTTTATATACCTTGGACCTAAAGTAGCTATTAATTAGTTTTTATACTAAAAAGGAGTAGAGCGTACGTAATGCTAGAGTCCCGGATAGCTTACTTAAAAGTATACTTTATCGGTAACTATAGTACGTACGATGGTCTAAGATAGATAAAATTAGTATTACTTTATTAATCGAGAGACGAAGAATCTAATGTAGTTATCGTATCTTAGGTATATCCCTCGGTTATAGAGATATAGTAGTCGCTAGCCCGAAGGTAAAAGAAGTAAGGAAAGGAAAGGGGCTAAACGCAAAAGTTACTTATTCGGCTATTACGGTACGACGAAGTAACTTAAGCGCTCGTTACTAAGATAAATATACTAATCGAAAAACGAAGAATTTAATAGTAAAAACGAATCTTAAATTAAGGTAAAAATAACAAAGTTAATAATTTAGCTAGGTAATGATTATAGCATCGTCCGTATTTACGGAAGCTATAGTTACTTTATATAGGCATAAGGCCTATCGTAGCGTATTACGTAATATATTAAGAGGATATGTCTTACCGTATTATTATAATACGTAAGGTAAAAAGTTATG